TGAGGTCAGCCTGGTTTGTACAACAAGTTCCACAATAGTCATGACTGGGTTTTTTCACCAAAATAAGGTTCAGGAATTTTGAATATTGTTCTTGGGTGAATATTGTTCTGAGTTCAGATAAGTTTGGAAATATTGTCACTTTCTATGTCGTCTTTCCCTCACTATAGCTAATTGGAGATCAATGCCTGCTCCAAATTAGACCTCACAAATTCTCTGTCCCAGGGATTTTTTGAGATGTATTTCATGTGTATGTGTATGTATTTGTGTAAAAGAGGAGGGTCAATAAGTATGTATGTTCCACAGCTGTCTTGTACATGTAACAGTCAGAGGACAACCCTCAGAGCTGGTTCTTCTACCATGTAGGTTCTGGAGAACAAACTTCAGGTTTTGTGGCAAGAGCCTTTTTTTTTTAATCTGATGAGTCTTCTTGCTTTCCCAAGTCCCCTCTTTTTGACCAAGGTTTAAGTAGTGTCTCACTACACCTGTAGTAGCTCTGCTGAGACAGATTAGCCTCTAGTGTATCGCATTTTATCTGGGCATCTAAAAAAGGCCGAGAGAACAGGGCCAATAAACGCTAGAGGCCTGGGGCTGGAAATCAAAGATGCAGTGAGATAATAGAGAGAGAAGCAAACTTCCCAACTACCCCACATCCTAGCGCTAATCAGGATAGGCAGAGTGTGTTAGCTCTGGGGGCCAGCACGATGATAATAAAAGGAAGGGTTTGTTTGGCTCTTAGTTCGGAAGGTTTCAGTTCCATGGTTGATTGACTCTGTTATTCTGCGGCCGGTGAGGCAGTGGCTGGAAAGTGGGTTGGGGGCAAGAGGTGTTCACTTTGCGGCTTCAGGAAAGCAAAGAAACGGAAGAGGAGGGGCTAGGACCTCCGACATCCCCTCCATGGCAGCCCTTCCAGCAGGCTCCATTCCACTGCCTGAAGATCAAACCCTTAATGAGGCGCGAGCCTTTTAGGGGACACTTCAGACCCAAACTGTAACAAGGAGACAAACCTAAAATGTGACAGTCTCCTCTCTGAAAGCTTTTACTGCAGCACTATTGCTTCTGGTGAAGATTTTTCGAAGAAGTTTCTCAGTGGCAGCCGTCTGTAAAGGATCACCAGTTTTAATTAAGTGTAACCAAGTCTATGCTACTATGATGAGTATTCCGTAGCTGGGAGAAAGAGATGTAAAGGCATACCATTCCGATTTTTATGGGTTTGCTGAATTACAAAGAGGATCTTTGAATCTCTTCTGTTCATAGAAACATATTTAGGTGCTTTTTGCTTATACGTGTTATTTGCTTTGGCTTTTTGTTTGTTATTGCTTTTATTGCTTTTGGCTTACATGTTTAATCCCATCTCCTTAATAGAACCTAGTAACTTTATCTTAAGGTAACTTTTTCCCTAACAAAAAGAAATTTCTATTTTTTATGGCTTTAAACATTATTTGGCATTAAAAAGAAGTCATTTGGGCACCAAAAGATACTACGCAGGTGAAAAATTTTAAACTCAGCATGTTTTTCAGACTTCAAATACCATCTGTTGTGTTTCCACAGCATGGAATGACATGCTTTCTGAATATGAGTCTTCTTGTATTTTTAATTTATTAAAGTGTATCAAGAAATGGAAACGGGCTAAACTGTCTTTCATAGCAGACCTCAGTAATACACAGCTGGAAATACAACTCCAGCATTCATATTCCCACCTGGAAAGTCTGTCGTATCTTGTCATGTTTGGATGCCTGGCTTCTCTTGATAGGAGGAGTGTGCCAGCAAAGTGGCTTGGAAGGTGCCATAGAGAAATATGAGAGGCAACATCAGAATGTCATCCACATTTTTAAAAAAATATACTACTCATTTTTGAGATTTTCATCATTGTTTACAAAGAGTTTTGATCATATCTCTACCCTGACTTCCCTCCTCCAATTCCCCTGTGGTTCCCCTAACACATCTCCCTCCCAAATTCATCTCTTCTTCCGTTTTTTATTTTTCTGAAATAAAGAAAAATTCACTTACTGGATGGTGGTGGCATACATCTTAACTCAGCACTCAGGAGACAGAGGAAGTTAGATTTCTGAGTTCAGGGCCAGCCTGGTCTACTGAGAAAGTTCCAGGACAGTCAGGGCTACACAGAGAAACCCTGTCTCAAAAACAAAAACAAAAAACAAAAAACAAAAAAACACCACAACCACCACTGACAATAATAATAATTCACTGTATCCAGTTGGGGATGTCCACATGTACCTGGGTGTGAGGCCATCTACTGGAGCATGGATAACCTACTCCCAAAGAAAATTGACTGCTTCCCCACAGAGGCCATCAGCTGCCAATAGCTCCTCAACTACAGGTGTCCCCTCATGAGCCCTCTCCCATCTGTGCAGGTATTTTGACTGGCTTGATCTTGGGCAGGTCTTGTGCAAGTAACCGCAACCTGAGTGAATTCCTGGGTCAGCAGCTGTGGCATGTCCACGGGATATTTCGCAGCACTTTCTCATCTTTGGGCTCTTACGTTCTTTCTGCCCCTTCTTCCAAAGAGCAGAGTCTGTTTCTGCTGGATGTTTATAAGCTCCTGATTTGTTTATAGGTTCCTGACATTTTTTTAAAGATTTATTTTACTTCCTGGTATGTGTATGTATGTTTATGGACCATGTATGTGTCTGATGCTTACAGAGGCCAGATTGTGTAACTGGAATTATCAGTGGTTGTGAACCACTGAGTGGGTGCAGGGAACTGAACCCAGGTCCTCTGCAAGAGCAGCCAGTGCTCTTAACCCATGAGCCATCTCTCCAGCCTCTGCCCTTCTACTGTTACTCGTTCTTTTCCTTGGAAGCCTCACCCAAGGAAACACCAGCTAAATGCCTTAACAGGCTTCCCCAATTGATTCCTGCTGCTTGTTTTGAGTATTTGATCTAATAGTATTCTGATATCTGTATCCGCCTGTCATCACTTACTACTTATATTTTGTTTTGGCTTACATGCATCTGATAAACTCCTCACTCATTCAAAGCCCAAAGTCTGACTGTCGTAAGTCATTTTCCAGAGCAGAGAGTACACATCTTCATCCTTTAATCACGGCATAGAGTGATCCAGAGCAGAGAGTACACATCTTCATCCTTTAATCACGGCATAGAGTGACAGATAGAGAAAGCCACAGCTACCATTGCAAGTCCACTGGTCCAGCCTGGCCTTCCCACTTCACCAGCTTTCTTCAGGGGTTTTTCATGTGTATATCTAATATTCTTATGATGTTTCTTAAAACATAGCTGTGGTTTCCCCACATAAATAAAATCTGTTAACACATCTTTCTAAAGTTGCTACACCCCAAATCACTACATATTGGAAATAAAATAGCATGGCAGAGATGCACATGGCTTTTCTTGGTGATTTGAAGTTTGTGACAACTGTGAGATTGGAGAGCACAGGCTTCCTGAGGTCTGGATGGAGACTGTGAATCCACTTCATGTAGATGAATAAGTAGGCTCTGTCTTGCTTCGAATAATGACACCCCTCTCCTCTATGTAGTAGTGAAGTGACTGTCATCCCTAGAACAAAGTCACTTATCTCAGTGATGTCCCAAGGCAGAACACCCATGGCATAGTTGTTATCCAGAAGGTAAGAGTCTGGAGGAAACATAATTTGTAATACTTGCTCTGTCAGTCATTGTTCTTGGCTTAAGAAATTAATTTCAAATTCCAGTGACTGTGAATGTGTTCTTAGAAAGCCTAAGATCCGGCTTGAAGAAGTTGTACTATCAACTCTAGAGGAGGAACATTGCTGCTGGCCATCTGTCCCTGCCATTGTGAGAGCTGGCTGTCACTCTGCTAAGCAAGCATGCTCAGTGGATTTGCAATAGGTAGCCAGAGCCTAAATCTTTGGAATTGGAATTCCTGTGTGTGTCTCACTGCTAGAGTATACCCATGCCCTTAGATGTAAAGAACAGTGCAAAAGGAAGCTACTGACTTTGAACTCAAAAGCAGGTAGATTCCTTGGGCATGGAAGCACACATTTAGGATCCCAGAACTCTGGACGCTTAGACAGGGGGAATCAAGGGTTCAGAGCCATCCAGGACAACATAATGAAATCTTTATTCAACAAAACAAAACAGAAGAACAAAAAAGATGGTGAATTTTTAAGCTCTTCTCCCTCACAAAAGAGAATATTAATAAGCTGCTGGGCAGACAAAAAGTATAATCAAGTCCAATACAGCTGTGTAATGCCAGATTACATAAACCTTTCATAATACAGTTAACAATTCTTCATTAACAGTTGTTGGAGCATTTAAAGCTATTTGGGGGGAGAGACTCAAACTAATACACCCTTTGCTAAGGAGTTACGACTGGCAGTTGAGGTCTGTTGCAGAAGGGAAGAGTCCTTTTTCATTGGCATTGTGGCCACTGTAGGTTGACTATACTCCCATGGGTGTCTCTGTATGACAGCACTAATTAGAATCAGTGGCCTCCTTAAAAAAGAGGAAAAGAAATTAGGAGGAGAACATGAAGTGTCCACAAGAAGTTTAGGAGAACAGGTAGTAGATATGATCAAAATACATTGTAAACATGTATGAAATTTTCAAATAATAAATTTATTGTATAAAATATTTTAAAATACTTGATTTAAAACATTTTAGATTGTCAGATGTGGTAGTGGCCATGCCTTTAATCCCAGCACTGGGGAGGCAGAGGCAGGCAGATCTCTGTGAGTTCAAGGCCAGCCTGGTCTACAGAGTGAGTTTTAGGACAGAGAGTGCTGTTACACAGAGAAACCCTGTCTTGGATTTATTGAGGTAAGATTTACATAGGAGAAAAATGGATACTTTTATACCCTTTAACCTTCTTAATACATAGTTTAATGAGTATTGACATTACACAGTCATAGTGCAGCCACTATAATCAGCTTAACCTGAAATTTCCTCATGTGCCGTTGCCCAGCCAGCCCTTCACCGTAATCCCAACTGCTGGCAGCCAGTGATCTACATTTTCTTGCTGTGATGATATGAATGTTCCCCATAGGCTCCTGGATTTGAACACTCGGTCCTGTTGGTGGCACTATTTGGGGAGGTCATGGAGGTTTTATAAGGTGAAGCTCTGCTAGAGGAAGTTCATCACTGTGGGTGAGCTTTGAGAGTTTATAATCTTACCTTACTTCCTGTGTGTGCCCTCTGCTTCCTGTGTTGAGATGTGACCTCTCAGCTTCCTGCTCCTGTAGCTTTGTTTGCTCACCTTTATAGACATCTGGCTCTCTGGAAACATAAGTCAAATTAAACGCTTACTTAAGTTGGCTTCGGCCAAGACATTTTATCACAGTAACAGAAAAGTACCGCCTACACCATATCAGCTGGTTTTGCATAGTTGTTACTAGAAAAATGGGGAGAATAGGAGGAAAGGGTTCATGGATTTGGAAGCTCCAGTCCATAATGACAAGGGTGGCCAGGTAATGCAGCTTACCACCTGGCCAACAGGAAGCAGACAGAGCTACAACAGGGAGATGTGTCAAGTTATACCCCCCAAGGACATGATTCCAATGTTTTTTTTTCCTGCAACTTAGCCCCACCTTCCACATTCTACTACCTTGTAATCAATTAAAAAATTTAATCCATTTAGGTGTTAAAATATTTATTACTTACTGGGAGGTAGTGGCTCATGCATTTTGGAAGCAAAGGCAGGCAGATCTCTGTGAGTTCAAGGCCAGTCTGGTCTACAGAGTGAGTTCTAGGACAGCCAGAGCCACACAAAGAAACCCTGTTTCCAAAACAAAGCAAAACAACAGAAACCCAAATATATATGTATATGTGTGTATTAGAGACTTCATAATCCAATCAGTTGTCTCTAGTCATGCTCTTATGGACACACCCTGTGGTACAATTTGCTAATCTCTGATGTATGTCTCAATTCAAGGAAATGAACAATCAAATTAACAGTCAGATTTCCCCACATCATATAAAAACAATCACACAGTATGTAGCCTTTTATGTTGTCTAGTGCTTTCCACTCTTCCAAGTTACTCCGAGATTCATTCTTGTTACTGGGCATATCAGTGGAACATTCCTTTTTATTGTTGTGTAGTGTTCCATGCCACGGATGTGCCTCAGCTCCATTGTCAATTCCCCAGATGAAGGACATTTAGGGATATCTGACTCTTGAAAGTTACAAAGATGACGACCATAGGCACATGGGAATAAGTGTTTATATGAAAAAGGGATTTCATCTCTCTATAGATATCTAGGGGTAGTATTACTAACTCAGATGATTAACTCTATAATGGTAAACTGTTCTCCAAAATGACTATGACATTTTGCATTATCACCAGTGAGGGCTGAGAGTCATGGTATCATCCTCATCAGTTCTCAGTTTTGTTTTCAGCTTTAGCTATAATGCATATTAAAAAACAATATGGATCACAAGCTAAGCACTGTTGCATACTACTGTAATCCCAGCACCCAGGAAGCAGAGGCAGGAGGATAATGAGTATGAGGGCCAGCCAGAGCTACAAAAGGGCACCCTCTTTCAAAAAACCAAGAGTTGGAGAGGTGACTCAGAGAGAGAGAGAGTGTTCACCTAACATGTGCAAAGCCCCAGCTTCAGTCCCCAGCACCACAGAGCTAATCCTGGATGGAATGCCAGGATAGGAAATAAAACTGGACTATAGCACAGGATACTGAGGGAAGTGGTACTCTTTCCTTCTTCCTTGCTTTCCTTGGGATATATCATCTGCTGGAACACAGGCAAGGAATAGGGATGAAATAGTAACACTAATGAGCTGAATTCAGAGTTGCTTACCTGAGAACCCACCCACACAAAGGTCCGAAAACCCTTAGAAAGGAACTAGAAGAGATGTCTTGTACCATGCTTTTCTTTATCCAAAAGCCTTTGGAATTTTGAAGGACTCATGCCTTTGCACATGTAAGAGAGGAAATACAGCCAGTAGAAACCTAGGAGGTTAATACCAGCTTGTACATTCCCCCCATCAAACCTGCTGTCTTTCGATGATTCTTTACTTTCTCTAAATTCCGGGTCTGTTCTTTGTATTGGATCTGTTCATCTAGGTAGTGATTTGACTTTGTTCCTGGGTTCCACACCACACCTTAGCTGCTGCCCTTCCCCTCCTTGAACAATTTCTGCTATGAAAGTAATTCCCCTAGCTTTGGGTCTGCTCATATCAGCATTGTGACACTTCTTATTGGCCTCAGACCCAGGCATGTCTTCCTCCTCCACCACCACCCCCAGCTCCTGCCTGAGAGCGTGGGACTTGACGTTGCTAACTTGGATAGAAACAAAGATAAGTGAAGCAAGTGTATAGATGAAATGAGACCAGGAGAACAGCTAGTATACCAGATGACAGAAGTATGCCAAAGATTTCCATAAGCTAGAACAAAGAACTAATATTAACCAATATAGGGGCTGGAGAGATTGCTCAGTGGTTAGAGCACTGGCTTCTCTTCCAGAGGACTTGGGTTCAATTCCCAGCACCCACATGGAGGCTCACATCTGTCTGGAGTTCTAATTCCAGAGGGCCCAACACCCTCACACACATGCAAGCAAAACACCAATGTACATAAAACAAAACTAAATCATTAAAAAATTTTAATTAACCAATACAAACTATAACTGAGTAGAATTTTGAGCTTAGGATGGGAAATCATGAGTTTCTGCTGCTACAGATGAAAGTGCCACGTAAGTGACAGAAAAGCAGATTATGTTGCACATGAGTCCGTTGAATGGTGCACTAAATAGTGCTGTGCCCCCAAACCCATAATAATTAACACAGTCCTCCTCCCCAACTTTAATGTGGTACCATGCTCTTGACCCCAGTTTACTGTATCAGTCAGACTACGCATGGCACTAGAACCTGGGCTTCATTTGGGGTGTATCACACCCCAATGCAGATAAAGAGAAATTTGTGTCTGCCCCACCTCCTGTTACAGTCCAGACACTGTCCTACCAAGGTACTAATGACTTTTTAGAATAAACAATGGACAGATTTCCTCCCTTATCAAACCCAAGCTGTCTGAAACACTTGAAACATTGATTGCTTCCTCTTTCTGTTTGCATTCCCTGGCTTTTCATCCTTACACTTAAAAAAAAAAAAGAAAGAAAAAAAAAGACTTTTTTCTTTTTTCTCTCCTTGCTCCACAAATGATTTACCCAAAGTTCCCTTGATCACTTGGCTATAGATTTCCCATCTATTCCCCAAAAGCTTCAGTCACCAAATTCTTAATTCTAGACTGACCTTTTTGGAACTCTTGAGCTCTTCTACTATTTAATTTATGGAGTGTAAAGTATTTGGTCAATAAACATCCATTAGAAAACAAAGAAGTCTCACAGGGGAATAGGAAAGTGTCAAAAGGTGATTGACAAGACAAACCTAGTAGAGATATATTGTATTCTGGAAGCCTTTGTAGATAACACCATGAAAGCCCTTGTTTTGCCTGAATTGCATTCTGGGGAAGAATTATTTTTTGAAAGAGTAGATTCATACAATCTGAGGTTGGTAATAGAAGGGGGCATGGCTAGAAAGAAAGGTCAAGGCTCAGTTAGTAAAATGTCCACTATGTAAGCATGGAGACCTGAGTTTGACTCCCCGGACCTACAGAAAAAAGCCAGGTTTGTAATCCCAAACCTTGGTGTTAAAAACAGGTCCCTGGGACTTCCTGGCTAACTTGTCTCACCTAATGGGCAAGTTCCAGGTCAATGAGAGATCATGTCTCAAAAATAGGCTTCTGAGCTTGTCTTCCGGTCTCCATGCTCGTGTGTATACGTGTGTGCACCTGTAGACATAAACACATACACAATAGTAATAGTAGTCATTGCAGTAAAGAAATGGAAACATGTTTGGTGAGTTCCACTTGTTTAGAAGTAAGTAGTGGGCTGGCAAGCAACGATTTTTTCCTCACTTTCTCAGAAGTCAGAAATGATGGCCTTGGAAACAGAAATATAAATGTTTATTCTTGTAATTTTAGAGTTTTTATCATTTTTATCTGGCTTATCTTCCCATAGTGTTTGGAAACAAAAGCTACAGCAAGAGAGAGGAGGAAAGGAAACAAAAGAGGAAGAAGGGAGGGGAATTGTTTGTTCCTTGCATTCCTGTGACATGGAGGAAGCCAGGTGTGTGGGAGAGCCAGGTCCAGAGCAAAGGACACAGCCCAGGATACAGAGGGCACAGGAGGGATTGGGTGTTTCGAGGAAATTCAAAAAAAGGGAAACACAAGGAATGTGTTTATCAGAGGGAGGGAGGAAGGGAGGGAGGGAGGAAGGGAGGAAGGGAGGGAGGGAGGGAGGGAGGGAGGGAGGGAGGAGACACTTTCAGAGCCATGTATAGAGGAAGGGAAGGAAGGAGGGGAAAAGGAAGGAGAGGAGAGGACAGGAAAGGAGGAGAGGGGAGGAGAGAGGAGGAGAGAGGAGGGGAGGGGAGGAGAGGTGATGGGAGGAGAGGAGGGGGAGGGGAGGGGGAAGGAGGGGAGGGGAGGAAAGAGGAGGGGAGGGGAGGAGGGGAGGGGAGGGGAGGGTTGAGTTAGTGGTGTTCAGCCATTTGGAGATGTTTGGAAGTTGGGTAAAGTAAGGTTTAGATTGACGAGTACGGACAGCCCTGATGGACAGAATGGGGCCCATAGGCAGAAATTATGGTCGTGGCTAGTTCAGTAGGAAAAGGAGAGATTTTTGTGCTCTAACTATAATTGTCTGGAAGTGGAATGTGCTCCTTGGGGGAGACCATGCATTTTCTGTCCCTGGCAGGTGACCACATAGCAGGAAAGCCTAGGAAAGGAAAAGCAGGCTCCATGGGTGGATGGGTCTACACTGGATGAACCCACCCTGTAAGTGTGTGACCTGCTGTATGTCTCAAGGCAATTATAGAAAACTCTGCTCTAAAAGCTGTCCCTCTGGTTGCGAGTCAAAGCACACAGGAAATCATCAAAATGTCCTTGGAAGCACATACTTAAATGCTGAAACCAGTGTTGTCAGAGGTAACAGCTGAGAGAAATGGGAAGCTTGAAGGTGTTGGGAGCAGAATGAGTCTTGCTACACCCTTATGGAAAGGGAAGACCATTCCTGGTGCCAAAGCATATTCAACATGTGGAATTAAGACGAGGCATGTAGCTCCATGGTGCAGTGTTGGTCTAGCTACACAAGGCCCTAGCACCACACACACACACACACACACACACACACACACACACACACACACACACACACACAGAGTAAAATTGCATAGACCTCAAAACCAAGTTTTAAATTGACAGGAAAGACGGTATCTGCCTGAGTGCTTTGGGGACCTGGGGCTCACACTAATAGATGAAGGGGATGGACAATGGATATTTGCAGATCACACTAATGGGTGAAGGGGATGGATAATTGTCAGGAGCGAAAATTGTTATTTAGAACCTTTTGTAAATATTGCCAGCCTTTTTAAAGAATAGTCCATCCCCTCCCCAGCTTCTTAATTAATAGAACTTGGGCTCACAGGAAATAGCTGATGGCAAAAATGAAACATTCTACAATTAGATCACTTAATCCCCTTCCTCTACTACTCTTTAACCTTGCCAACACCTGTTACCTGCTCACCTTCAGTGGCCTGGTTACTAGGCAAGACCCTTCCCTCACTGTCCTGCATTCCTCTGCCTCATCCCCTACCCCAAAAACTCTCATTAAATGCAGCTTGATCAGCCATGTTGTTTTGCTGCCACCTTCTCTTGTCCCGTCATTCCAGGTTCCCAGGCTCAACCCCCGTTGTGCCCTGCTGGACAGGGCAGATCGGCACCCAACAATCCCGCTTGAAAACCCTAAGAATCCCAGGAACGCTGCTGTGCCCAAGGGGGCAGGCCTGCCCGCGTTCACTGGGCCACCGCGCCCTATGGGGGTAAGCACCGGCTTGCAGAAGTCGCCACAGCTCTACACAACTGTGAGACAGACTTGCAAAGAGTCGCCACGGCCCCACTCAGCAGTGAGACAGACCCGAGGTCGCCACGGCTTCGCATGGCTGTGAGAAGAACCCGCAGTGATCGCCACAGCTCTACCCCGCCTGTGAGTCTGATCCGGAGGAATAACGCAGCAGAGCAACCTAAGCTCACGCCATGGGACAAACATTTAGTAAGCAAGATTTGTTCATTAAGGGACTCAAAACATCTCTCAAGACACGAGGAGTAAGGGTTAAAATTAAGGATCTTAACGTATATGATTAGATATATGAAACAGAAAATTATTGGTCAGATGATCATATGTTTACTTGTATATATTTTAATAGCCAGGAGAGTTGAAATAAAGCAAAACTAAGTGCAGAAAATTTTAGAGTTTAAAAGTTTTAAGAGGATCCTTCCCTCCTGCAGAAGCCACCCAGCTGTATCAGAGCTGCACCAGGGCTTGGGGAAGCAAAAGTTGCGACCGTGCATACGAGAAGGACAGCATAAAATACCTGCCCCTGAAGCGGTTAGCAGAGACCTCCACCTACTAGGAGAGGCTACGTGAAAAGAACGTAAAGGGCAGAGAGGTTGGGATGATGAGTATAAAGAGAGAGTCATTGAGTATCAGGACGGAGAGTCTTCACATCCTTCATTTTTAACTAGAAATACAGAAAGGCAGAAACCTAGTGGTAAAATTCAGCAGAGTAAGAGACTTGAAAGATTTAGTGGAATCGCTCACAGGAGATAAGAACTTCTCAAGTTTCCTCGGATCAGAGAAATGTTCCTTGTCTAAGGCAGCAGCAATCTTAGATCAGCCTAGGGTACAAGCACCCCACGAGTCATTGCCGGCAGCTGCAGCAGGTCAGATGTCTCCAGTGCAGGTTACTGTTAGAGAAGTGGCAAACAAAGAAAAAGATGTACAGGGATTTCAGACATTTCCTATGACAGAGCATGGGGATGCTCAGGGAATCATAGGCAGAGAGTGCACACCAATACCATTTAAACAGCTCAAGGGACTAAAGATGGCTCATATTCAGTATAGACCAACAGCGGTTTTTGTCCAGATGCTAATAGAAAATACTGCTATAGAAACCTTACCCCCAGGAGATTGGAAGCTGACAGCCAAGGCCTGTGTACCAGAAGGGAACTAATTTGTTGTAGAAAGCAGAATTTACAGACAGTGTCAAAACATAGCTGAAAAAAATAGAGCCCCAAACCTTCTGGTTTATTATGAGGTGCTCACTGAGGAAGGGCAATACAAAGATATAGATCAACAGTTAAGTTTTGAGGTAGCAATGTATGCACAGGTTGACACAGCTGCCAAGAGAACTTGGGACAAGCTTCCCGCTACCAGGACACAGACTAAGAAAGAGCAGGCAAGGACCTAAGGAGTTATTTCAGAATTTTATCTCTAGGCTAATACAAACATCATCCAAAATAAGGGGAGATACAGGTGTTAAACTTTTAATTGAGACAAGTAGCTTATAAGAGTGCTAATACAACACGCCAGGCCCAAAGGACAAAGGTGAGGATAGCTAAGGCCAAAGCCTAGGAAGCTTGCAGCCTTGAGAGCTGCTGCCATGGCTGACGCCCAGACAAATGTATAGAAAATTAATACAGCCAGTCAGAAACTATTTTAAGACCTTACAGAGAAAGAAAGACAACATGAATAAATTTGGATTTGTTCAGATTTTGGATGCTCATAATTCAAGGATTGGCTATAGCTACTGTGTTACAAGAAGCTTCAATTAAAAAGTTTCATTTCAACTAACTAATCATAAACTAGGCAAAAAGAGGGATGGGAGATGTGTGCTTGTTATGTATGTATGGTGTGGCCACACCGGTATGTATGAAATACGATTGTGATTACATAAATGTGAACTACTAGGATTGCCTTAAATATGGTTAAACACTTAAATTGCTTTGGGTATAGTTAAAAAGAGCATCCAGTCAGTCAATGTCTTAACAGGAAAAATGAAAGATTTAAGCCTTCAGAGCCAGTCAATGGAAAGAAGTCTACAGCATGGCCTAGGAGCCAAGAGAATCTGTATGGATTATTTAATAGACTTTAGCAGAGGAGAGGATACAGAGATCCTCCTAAATTTTTATCATTAAAAAATAAAATCTAGAAACTGATAGTTAATATATGATTTGAAAAAGGTTTTTGAGTAGCCTCAAGAAACTGCCACCCTCTGTTAGGCTCCACCCACAAAGGTGTCTGTGTAGATGCAAATTAGGCCATGTCAGCTAGTGAGAGCTTTACCGGTTAGATTGGAAAAGACTACTTACAAATTTTAAGTAATTTTCAAAAGTTATTTGGGACATATATTATATTCTAATAAAAATTAAACCTCAATTTAGAGAATTAAAAAAGATAATTTACAATCTTTTAAGTGATTTTCAGAAATTGTTGGGAAATATTCAATAGTTATCTCCTTTTTTAATTTTTACTTTTGAATTTAAATTTAAATTAGAAACAAGGTTGCTTCACATGTCAATCCCAGGCCCCTCTCCCTTTCCCTCCCCTCCTCCCACGCCCTCCCACCAACCCCCGAATACTCCCTCATCTCCCCAGGGAGGGTGAGACCCTCCATGGGGATGTCCATAGTCTGCCATTTCATCCAGGGCAGGGCCTAGATCCTCCCCCAAGAGTCCAGGCTGAGAGTGCATCACTCATTGTTGGATGGGCACCCAAAGTCCATTTGTATGCCAGGGATAAATACTGATCTACTACCCAAGGCCCAATAGATTGCCTAGGCCTTCTCACTGACACCCACATTCAGGAGGTCTTGATCAGTCCCATGCTGGATTCCCAGCCATCAGTCTGGGGTTCAAGAGCTAACCCTTGTCAGGTCAGCTGTTTCTGGGGGTTAAACCAGCCCAGTCTTAATCCCTTTGCTCATCAGTCCTCCCTCTCTGTCACTAGGATCCTTGAGTTCAGCTCAGTGTTTAGCTGTTGGAGTCTGCCTCTGCTTCCACAAGCCATTGGATGAAGGTTTTGTTCCCCAGATTCTCTGGCCATGGGATTGTGGGCTGGCACTCCCCAGATCTATGTCTAAAATCCATATATGAGTGAGTACATACCATGTTTGTCTTTTTGTGACTGGGTTACCTCACTCGGGATGGTTTCTTCTAGTGCCATCCATTTGCCTGCAAATTTCAGGATTCCATTGTTTTTTCTGCTGAATAGTACTCCATTGTGTAAATGTACCACATTTTCTCTATCCACTCATCAATTGAGGAGCACCTAGGTTGCTTCCAAGTTCTGGCTATTACAAATAATGCTGCTATGAACATAGTGGAACAGATGTCCTTGTTGTATGAATTTGCATCTTTTGGATATATGCCTAAGAGTGGAATTGCTGGGTCTTGTGGTAGGCTTATTCCTATTTTCCTGAGGAATCTCCATAATGATTTCCAAAGTGGCTATATGAGTTGGCACTCCCACTAGCAGTGTAGGAGTATTCTCCTTTCTCCACAACCTCTCCAGCATAAACTGTCCTTGGTGTTTTTGATTTTAGCCATTCTGATAGGAGTAAGATGGTTATCTCAGAGTTGTTTTGATTTGCATTTCCCAGATGGCTAGGGATGTTGAGCACTTTCTAAAGCGCCTCTCAGCCATTTTAGACTCCTCTATTGAGAATTCTCTAGTTCTGTAGCCCACTTTTTAATTGGATCCTTTGGTGTTTTGGAGACTTGTTTCTTGAGTTCTTTGTAAATTTTGGAGATCAGTCCTCTGTCAGATGTGGGGTTAGTGAATATATTTTCCCATTCTGTGGGCTGCCTTTTTGTCTTGCTGACTGTGTCCTTTGCCTTACAGAAGCTTCGCAATTTCAGGAGGTCCCATTTATTAATTGTTGACCTCAATGTCTGTGCTACTGGTGTTATGTTCAGGAAGCTGTCTCCTGTACCAATTCCTTCAAGGGTACCACCCACTTTCTCTTCTAAGTGTTACAGTGTGGCTGGATTTATGTTGAGGTCTTTGATCCATTTGGACTTAAGGTTTGTGCATGGCAATAGACATGGGTCTGTCCTCATTCTTCTACATGCCAGCCTCCAGTTATGCCAGCACCATTTGTTGAAGATGCTTTCTTTTTTCCATTGTATATTTTTAGCTTCTTTGTCATATGTTCATACATGCATGGGTTAATATCAGGGTGTTCAATTCGATTCCATTGGTCTACCTGTCTATGTTTGTGCCAATACCAAGCTGTTTCTAGGACTACAGCTCTATAATACATTCAGGGATGGTGATGCCTCCAGATGTTGCTTTGTTGAATAAGGTTGCTTTGGCTATCCTGGGTCTTTTGTTTTTCCATACAAGATTGATTTTTGTTCTTTCAAGGTCTGTGAAGAATTATGCTGGGATTTTAATGGGAATTGCATTAAATCTGTATATTGCTTTTGGTAAGAATGCCATTTTACTATGTTGATCCTACCTATCCAAGAGCATGGGAGATCTTTCCATTTTCTGGTGTCTTCTTTAATTTCTTTCTTTAAAGACTCAAAGTTCTTGCAATACAGGTCTTTAACTTTTTTGGTTACCATTACCCCAAGGTATTTTATGTTGTTTGTGGCAATTGTAAAGGGTGATATTTCTCTGATTTCTTGCTCAGCCCTTTTATCGTCTGTATATAATAGGGCTACTAATTTTCTTGAATTGATCTTGTATCCTGCCACTTTGCTGAAAGTATTTATAAGCTGTAGGAGTTCCCTGGTAGAATTTTTTGGATCACTTCTGTAAACTATCATATCATCTGCAAACAGTGAAAGTTTGACATCTTCCTTTCCAATTTGTATCCCCTTGATCTCCTTTTGTTGTTGTATTGTTCTAGCTAGAACTTCAAGTACAATATTGAAAAGGTATGCAGAGAGTGAACAGCCTTGTCTTGTTCCTGATTTTAGCAGAATCACATTGAGTTTCTGTCCATTTAGTTTGATGTTGGCTGTTAGTTTGCTGTATATAGCTTTTATTATGCTTAGTTATGTTCCTATTATCCCAGATCTCTCCAAGACCTTTATTATGAAGGGGTGTTGGATTTTGTTAAAAGCTTTTTCTTCATCTAGTGAGATGATCATATGATATTTGTTTCTCAGCTTGTTTATATGGTGGATTACATTGATGGATTTTTGTATATTGAACCATCCCTGCATCCCTGGGATGAAACCGACTTGATCATGGTGAATGATTGTTTTGATGTGTTCTTGGATCTGATTTGCCAGCATTTTATTGAATATTTTTGCATCAATTTTCATGAGGGATACTGGTCTGAAGTTCTCTTTCTTAGTTGTGTCTTTGTGTGGCCTCGGTATCAAGGTTATTGAAGTCTCAGAAAGAGTTTGGCAAAGACCCTTCTGTTTCCATTGCGTGGATTACTTTGAGAAGAATTGGTATAAGGTGTTCTTTGAATTTCTGGTAGAATTCTGCAATGAGGCCATCTGGCCCTGGGCTTTTTTTTTTTAGTTGGGAGACTTTTAATGACTGCTTCTATTTCCATAGGGGTTATAGGTCTATTTAAATTGCTTTTCTGTTCTTGATTTAATTTTGGCAAGTGATAGCTTTCCAGAAAATTGTCCATTTCCTTTAAATGTTCAAATGTTGTGGAGTACAGGTTTTCAAAGCATGACCTGATGATTCTCTGAATTTCCTCAGAGTCCGTTGTTATGTCCCCCTTTTCGTTTCTGATTTTGTTAATTTGCATGTTCACACTCTGCCGTTTGTTAAGTTTGGACAAAGATTTGTCTATCTTGTTGATTTTCTCAAAGAACCAACTCTTCGTTGAATTGATTCTTTGTATTGTTTTCCTAGTGTCTACTTTATTGATTTCAGCCCTCAACTTGATTATGTCCTTGCATCTACTCCTCCTGGGGGAGTTTGCTTCTTTGTGTTCTAGAGCTTTCAGCTGTGCTGCTAATTCTCTAGTGCAACTATTCTCCAGTTTCTTCATGAGGGCACTTAGTGCTATGAACTTCCCTCTTAGCATTGCTTTCAAAGTTTCCTATAAGTTTGAGTATGTTGTGTCCTCATTCTCATTGAATTTTAGGAAGTCTTTAATTTCTTTTTTTATTTCTTCATTGACCCAGGAATGGTGCAATTGTGCATTATTCAACTTTCATGAGTTTGTAGGTTTTTTGCAATTTGTGTTGTTGTTGAATTCTAATTTTAACGCTTGATGGTCTGATAAGGTGCATGGAGTTATTCCAATTTTTTGTACCTGTTGAGGTTTGCTATGTTGCCAAATATGTAGTCGATTTCTGAGAAGGTTCCATGTGGTGCTGAGAAGAAGGTATATTCTTTTTTTATTTGGATGGAATGCTCTACAGATGTCTGTTAATCCCAATTGGGTCATAACTTCTATTAGTCCCTTTGCTTCTTTGTTAAGCTTCTGTCTGGTATTCCTGTCTAGTGGTGAGAGTGGAATGTTGAAGTCTCCCACTGTAAGTGTGTGGGGCTTTATATGTGATTTAAGTTTTAGTAATGTTTCTTTTATGAACGTGGATGCCTTTGTATTTGGGGCATAGATGTTCAGAATTGAAACTTCATCTTGGTGGATTTCTCCTGTGATGAGTATGTAATGACCTCCTTCATCTCTTTTGATTGATTTTATTTTAAAGTCTAATTTGTTAGATATTAGGATTTCTACTCCTGCTTGTTTCTTGGATCCATTTGATTGGAAAATCTTTTCCCAACCTTTAACTCTGAGGTGATGTCTGACTTTGAGGCTGAGGTGTGTTTCTTGTATGCAGCAGAAGGATGGGTTCTGTCTTTGAATCCATTCTGTTAGCCTGTGTCTTTTTTTTTTGTTTGTTTGTTTGTTTTGTTTTGTTTTGTTTTTCGAGACAGGGCTTCTCTGTATTGTTTTGGAGGCTGTCCTGGAACTCGCTTTGTATACCAGGCTGGCCTCGAACTCACAGAGATCCACCTGCCTCTGCCTTCCGATTGCTGGGATTAAAGATGTGCGCCACCAATGCCCAGCTGCCTGTGTCTTTTTATGGGCAAGTTAAGACCATTAATATTGAGGGATATTAATGACCATTGATTGCTCATTCTTCTTTGATTTGGAATGGTTGGTGGTGGTAGAATTATGTGTGGAATTCCACTGATTTTTTCTTTTGCCTGTTGGTAAGGTGGGATTATCTAATGCCTATGTTTTTCTGGTTGTAGTTAACTTTCTTGGGTAGGAATTTTCCTTCCAGAACTTTCTGTGGGGCTGAGTTAGTGGATATGTATTTCTTGAATCTAGTTTTGTCATGGAATATCTTGTTTTCTCAATCTATAGTGATTGAGAGCTTTGCTGGATATAGTAGTCTGGGATGGCATCCATGGTCTCTTAGTGTTGGTAGAATATCTATCCAGGACCTTCTGGCTTTCAGAGTTTCCATGGAGAAGTCAGGTGTAATTCTGATAGGTTTGACTTGATCTTTTTCCTTAGCTACTCTTAATATTCTTTCTTTATTCTGTATATTTGAGGTCTTGATTATTAAGTGGCGAGGGGACTTTTTTGTAGTGCACTCTATTTGGGGTTCTGTAAGCTTCTTGTACCTTCATTGACATGTCTTTCTTTAGGTTGGGGAAGTTTTCTTCTATGATTTTGTTGAATATATTTTCTGCCCCTTTGAGGTGGTTTTCTTTACCACCTTCAATACCTATTATTCTTAGGTTTGGTCTTTTCATGGTGTCCCATATTTCCTGGATGTTTTGTGTTAGGGATATGTTGGACTTAAGATTTTTTTTGGTCGATGAATCAATTTCTCCTAGTGTATCTTCAACACCTGAGATTCTCTCTTCCATCTCTTGTATTCTGTTGGTTATGCTTGCATCTGTAGTACCTGACCGTTTGCCCAGCTTTTCTATTTCCAGCCTTCCTTCAAAATGTGTTTTTTTTAATTGTCTCTATTTTAGTTTTCAACCCTTGCACTGTTTGAATTGTTTCTTGCAATTTTTGCTTTGTCTTTTCATCCATTTGTTGCATTTTTAAAAAAAATTTTTTTGGTTTGCTTTTTCTTCCATTTCTTTAAGGGATTTTCCTATATCCTCTTTTGGGGCCTCTATCATTTTCATGAAGTTGCTTTTAAGGTCATTCTCTTCTGCTTCATTTGCACTGGAGTGTTAGAGTCTTGCTGGTGTGGAGTCTCTAGAATCTGGCAGTGTCATATTTGTTTTTCTGTCGCTGAATGTGTTTTTGTATTGTCTCTTTCCCATCCCTTCTCCCTTGGGTGGAGAAGAAGACCAGGAATCTGAGGTGCGGATGCGTACCCACTGATGGTCTGCAGTCACTTGTCCTGGTCCCCTGGTCCCGTTGGTGGAAGATAAGACCAGGAATCTGGGGTGCATGGCTCCTGCCAGGAGGGGAGTCTCTCTGGCAGTCCCCAGGCAGTCCCCAGGCACTGGAAGGCAGGCCCAGACACAGGGCCTGGTTTACCTGGTCCTGTTGGTGGAAAAGAAAACCAGGAATCTGGAGTGCTTGACTTCTGCTGGGAGGGGAGGCTCCCAGTTATGTCCTTTTTTAAAGTGTGTCTACTGGTGATATAAAACACTTAAATGCGATTCTAAACGAAAATAATGATCCCAACTCACTTGGATAGTTAACTAAAAGAAGGTAGACAAGTCCTACTGTTAGAAAGTATAGGCTGGCATCTGCAGATGTTATATTAACAATACAAAATCAGGGCCTGGAGAGATGGCTCAGAGGTTAAAAGCATTGGCTGGTCTTCCAGAAGTCCTGAGTTCAATTCCCCGCATCCACATGGTGGCTTACAACAATCTACAATTCAATCTGGTGCCCTCTTCTGGTATGTAGGCAGAACACTGTATATGTAATAAATAATTAAATCTTTAAGAAAAAATACAAAACCATGGGAAGCTTATGCTGTTTCCCCAGCCAAAGTGTTAAATCCTTATTTTAAAGCAGTAGCCTGTATGTTGCAGAAATGCCATATGATATCTAGGAGATATTTTGACAGAGAACAAAGTATAATACTGTTGTGCCAAGTTTGTGGAATCCCGAAGTCTAACCCAAGGAGTTGACACTTCTGATACAAAAGCAAAAGGTTTCATTTGTTTCCATGATGGAGGAGATGAGATGCCCACCAGCAAAAAAGAAAAGCTTTTGGAGAAGGCCACAAGTTTCAGTTTCCATGGTTGCTTAGGGTCATACAAGATTCAGAGTAAAATAGTAACTATATGTTTTGGACAGGTTACATCTGAATAAGACAAGACAAGGCTTGCAGGGTTGCCGAGGTCATGGGGTCTGTCAATTATCCCCTGGGCCAGGGAATCTTTACAACTGGCAGAGGACCTTTATGACCAACAATTAGCAAAGGAATATTAACAGGAGTGGTGGACAGTTGCCTCCACTCCTCTGAGAGCAGGGGCTCAGGCACCAGACCTGGCACTCCCGATTTAAGGAGTTAAAATTTCCCTTACCATTATAAGTTCCTTCTCTCTGTATAGATTTAGGGCTCAAGTTTTTAAACTTTTGTTAATTTTATTTTTTGTTCCCTCAATACATGTTACTTGATTGATTGTTTCAAAACAGTGATTCATGGGAAATTGCTTTTACTCAATTTTCAGGGAGAATTGATAATCAGTTTACAGCTCATAGGTTGTTACACTTTGAGCTAACACATCCTTTTATATTCTCCAAAATAGTAAAAAATAGTCCTGCAAAAAAATGTCATGCTAGTTTTTACTAATGGTTATTCTAATAGAAGAGCAGCTATGGTATAGATGGTAAGAAATATGTGGAGCAAACAACTCTGGCTTCAGCTCAGAGTTATAAGCTGTTACAATGGTTTTTAAACTTCTAGTAAATGATTCATTTAATTGTATACTGACATTCATTGTTTTTAAGGCTCTTCAAATAATAAAGACAGCTCAGTGTATTGGAACTAACAATGATCAGGTTAAAATATATTTTGAGCAAATTCAAAATGCAATTGCCATGTTTTGTGGGTAACATAAGAGCTCATTCAAATCTTCCCAGCCCATTGGCTAGAGAAAATGAGTCAACAGATAGATTAACAAAATTGGTCTGCAGTCGCATAATTTCATCACCAAAATAACAGAAGTCGCCGGGCGGTGGTGGCGCATGCCTTTAATCCCAGCACTCGGGAGGCAGAGACAGGTGTATCTCTGTGAGTTCGAGGCCGGGCTGGACTGACAGCCTCCAAAACAATACAGAGAAACCCTGTCTCATAAAACCAAAAAAAAAAAAAAAAAAAAAGAAGAAGAAGAAAGAAAGAAAAATAACAGAAGTCTTGGAAAGCAATTTGGTTTACCTAGAGAGACTGCTTGTCAAAACTGTCAAACAATGAGGTGTGCCCACAATATTTATCTGTAACTAATTTAAGAGTGAACCCTAGAGGCCTACGTCCTAATCATTTATGGCAAATGGATGTTACTCATGTTACAGAATTTGACAAGTTAGAATACATATGCATGGCAGTTGATAAGTATTCAGGCTTTTTTGATGGCTAACACACAAACTGAAAAAGTCACTAAGCATGTGATAAGTCACTGTTTAAAATGCTTTGCTTACATGGGAGTTCCAAAAGTGATAAAGAACAGACAATAGGTCTGGATATTCTAATAAGGCATTCAGCTATTTTGTACTCAATAGAAAATTGATCACAACAGGTATTCCTTATAATCCTCAAGGAATTTTAGAGCATGCTCAAAGCTCCTTAAAAATACAACTTCTAAACTTCTATACCTGTGGAAATGGAATGCCTTATTCCATGTTGCCTACAAACTGGACAGGGTTATGTGTATAGCCACCCTTCTCCCAGATGTAGAGTTTATTCCAGGAAGTGAGCCCTAGCATAGATTATCTTATTCGTAGACATGAGAGAGCCATCTAATTCATCCCCCTGTTAGTGGGACTTGGAGTATTGGGGGCCTTAGCTACCAGCTCTACAGGCATGGAAGTAGCTATTCAGACATACTCCACAATGAACCTTAGTCACATGCCGCCTGTAAAAATGACTATAAAATCACCTTTGTCTCCACATGATGCATTAAATCATGCACTCTTCATTTTCATTTTTTAAAATGTGGATGCCAGTAAACAATCTACTGCAGACAGATTCTGGCATGATGGAACTCGAGTGACTTTTGCTCTGGTCAGATAAAAACATCCATATACTAGACAGTGGAAAAGACCCAATTTGGGGTGGAGGGAATGTTTGTGTTTTCTTACAGGAAAAGAACAAAGCTTGGTGGCTGCCAAAACATTTGGTGAGATGCATGAAGCAAAAAGAAAACCGGAGGCTGGGCTGGACTGACAGCCTCCAAAACAATACAGAGAAACCCTGTCTCGTAAAACCAAAAAAAAAAAAAAAAAAAGGAAGAAAGAAAGAAAGAAAACCGGACCTGAAACCATGGAAAGCTGCCCAAGCCAGTTCCAGAGAAACATGCTAAACCAGTGTCCCTGACTCTGCATCTCTCCATAGCCCCCTCCCTGGCCCAGTTTCCAAATTCCCTCAACCCATTTCCACCTCTGTTACCTCACTCTCTGCCCCATACTAACTCCATTTATCTGATCCGAGAAGAGTGGGCCTGTCAGGATATCCTTACCACCTGCATCTACTCACCACTCCTAAATTCTACCCCTATGTTTTACATTTTAGTTAAATTAGTTCCCCGCCTTAACTATTATTCTAAACAAGATGTGCTTTTGGGGCTGGGAGCCATAGGAGCAGGCACTAGGATTTCATTCCTTGTGCTCTCAAACAGCCATTACTCAGAGCTCCAAATCTCTGTAGATAATGACATCCATAGTTTACAAAAGGAAGGAAACATCGAGAACAGGAACTAGGCTGGTTCCAAAATTGGCTCTCAGCCTCACCCTTGCTCACCACCCTACCCCCTTCCATTTTAGGATGCCTTGCTGGCTTTTTAATGTTGCTCACATTTGGCCCTTGAGCCAGCAAGAGGTTAACTGACTTTATCCGCCAACAGATCGACTGCCTGACAGCAAAGCCTACCCAAACTCACTATCACAGGCTTGACCTCGAGGATCATGGTCACAGTAAGCCTTTAGAAGGTGACAACCCACAATCAAGGGGGCCACTTCCCAGGGAGACCTCCTTCTGCTATTGACAAAATTAAAATATCTCCCACCGAGGTGCACCCTGCGAGTGCAGTGAAGAAGCCGCCAAAGGTGCCTATCCTGGGCTTCATGGGGTATACCTGGTTGCATGAAGGTCGATGTCATAAAAACCCTTCCCTCCATGAAAGGACATCCTGATGGGCCTAAGCAAGCTTGCCTGCAAAGGCTGGGTCAGCATGCTCCAGGATATATGTCACATAACCATCCAGGAGGACCAGGATCCCTGCTTCCACTCATGGTGAGATAGTGTCAATATCTTACCTTCTTACTTGGGAAAAAGGGGGAGGAATTGTGGGGAGCAATTATTGTTATTTAGAACCTCTTGTAAATATTGTCAGTCTTTTTTAAGAATAGTCCATTGCCTCCCCAGCTTCCTAATTAATAGAACTTGGGCTCACAGGAAATAGCTGATGGCAAAAAGGAAACATTCCACAATTAGATCACTTAACCCCCTCCCTCTGCGACCCTTTAACCTCACCAACACCTGTTACCTGCTCACCTTCAGTGGCCTGGTTACTAGGCATCGACCCCTCCCTCACTGTCCCGCATTCCTCTGCCCCATCCCCCTACCCCATTACCCCTATATAAGCCTAACAAAACTCTAATTAAACGCAGCTGGATCAGCCATGTTGTCTTGCTGCCACCTTCTCTTGTCTCTTGTCCCGTCATTCCAGGTTCCCGTGGCTCAACCCCAGTTGTGCCCTGCTGGACAGGGCAGACAATGGATATTTGCAGATGGCCAGTGACTAGGATTACAAAGAATAAAGAAGGATGAACACGCAAGATAAACGTTGTAAGATCTGTGTTTGGTGGCAGAAAACTGAGTTTCTAGCTAACTTTCTGGGGCCAGGAGGTGGCTTTAATTTAGAGCCTTGGTTCTCATAATAACATGAGACCCCTGTGGGGGTTTCATATTCAATATCTTGTATATTGGATGCTTAAATTACAGTTCATAACAGTAGTAAAATTACAGTTTGAAGAAGCGATGAAATAATTTTATGGTTGGGGGTCACCACAACATGAGGACCCTTTGGCTGCATAAAAGGGTCGCAGCATTAGGATGGATGAGAGCCACTGCTCTGGAGAGGAAAGGGGCTCCCTTTTAAAGGGTATTTAAAGTTACCCTCATGGATGGCAGCCTTTTCTAAAGACTGGCTATAGAAAAACATGTCCAAGTATGGAATTATAAAATGTGTTTGTCCCCTCATCTTGAAAGGATAAGGCCATGACTCCTGATTGTCTTGTGACTAACCTCACAGTATATAAGCAATGCGAATGTTGTTGCTGTTGGGGTCGTATAATATTTTGGAAATATATTCCACCGGGCCATGAGTTCTGAGAGCTCAGAACTTATATTGTCTTTTAGATGTTGGTTGATAGCCATTGAGTGGCCTATTCTAAATAAGAATAGCTTTGTCTACACCCACCCTGAAGGCTAGTGAGACATGCTGGTGTGGAGTGCCTGAGGGCTTGAGTACCTGCTGTAAAGGAGTGTCTCTAGGATTTAGGGAAATATTTGCTATCATGATAATAGATGTCTTCTGCCATTCCCCGCCCCCCCCACTTTTGAATGGTTACTTAAGATGATAGAACAATAAACCATGGCCTTCAGTACTAACGAGAACCCTCCTGATATGACCAGATGTCTGTCTTGTCTTTAATGCCGTTGGAAAGTTAGCTTGGCCCGCATCCACACTCCTTCACTCAGGGTCGGACCCAGGGTTGTTTCATTGGTTCTGATTGCAGCCCCAAAGACATCAGTCTATAATAAATGGTCCCCGCAATGTGGGGCCAATACAGACGGGACCTGACAGTTGCTTAGTTACAGAGGGAAAACCTCTTACTTTTAAAACATTTTGGGTGGCTAAAGACATGACTCAGGTTAATAGCAATTCCTTATCTTATAGAAGACCGAGATTTAGTTTCCAGCACCTCCCATAGCAGCTAATAGCTGTCCCTAACTCCAGTTCTGGGGATCCAGACCCACTCCAGACTTCCACCTGCACCAGGTGTGCATACAGTGCACACATATCCATGCAAGCTAAATACCCATACACATAAAAAATAAAAACAATGCATCTTCAAAATATCTTAAACCTTAATCAAGCAAAGTATCTTTCCATTTCTATTATTTATTTATTTTTAAAAATCTATTTGTATAGACAAGGTTTCATGTGCCTCAAACTGGCCAGGACCTCCATATGTAGCTGAGAATGACCTTGAACTTTTACCCTCCTGTCTCCATTTACTAGGTGCTGGGATTACAGGCATAAGCCACCATGGCTGAATGGTTTGCTTGTTTGTTCTTTTTAATTTTGTCTTTTAGGATAGGAGATTTCACTATTGTTCTTAGATAATTTCCGTGTCTCAGCCTCCCAGTATCTGGGACACCACGTCTCACCAAAAAAATCTCATTTACATCTTTCTTACGGGATTTAAAAAGCAGGAATAACTCCCTTCCCACAAAGTGAGGACCCAGCTGAGTCTGTAGAAGGTCTAGAGCAGTGTCTATGGAAGACCTCAGCTTCCTAGAAAGAGCTTAGGTAAGCGGTTGGGGAGAGGAATCCTGGGGAGATTTTCCCTGTAAGTCTCTGCAAAGTAGGGACTACATCTTCCCTGCCTAACCTAAGAGGAGAGTTGGTCTGATGGCGGTGCTTTCCATGGTGATCTGCTAATGTTGCACAGTCCAGATTGCACTGCAAGGGAACTTCTTAACCTTTTTGGATAGTTTACATCAAAGACACTTTAGGAAAATCTAGTGGTGGCTGCCTACTACCCTGAAAACTGGGTTTATAGTCCTTAGTGAGTTTTTTTTTTAATGACGTGGCTTTTCAGCACCCTTCCAGAGATGTGAGCATGCAAATCACATGGCCAAGCTTCATTATTATAGCAGATGTATCTCAGAAAACTGAGGACGCATAAATTAATTTGCTAGCATCCCAAACCATGTGCTGAAGGGACAGCATCCACCCTATCTCCTCTTGTCTCTGTCCAGGAAGGAGGATGTCTATCGGTTCATTCATTCATTCGACATGTGTTGAGCATTTTCTGTGTGCAAGGACTCTGCTCTGCTAGAGACACAAGGATTGAAGACTGAAGGATCCCTTCCCCAAAGGCAGAGAAAGCGGATGGCTGCAGTAGGATGATCAGAAGTAGGCAAGTCAATTAGGGTCATCGTTCAGAAAGTGATACTGGGTGGTATAGGAACAGAGTGGAGGATATATCTTGACTTGTCTTGACTCCTCCAGGAAAAAAAAGGGAACTGGTCAGCTGAAGGAAGGAGAATCAGCTGCTTTTGATAGGTGAAGAATGTGCCAAAGATCCTGAGCTGTTCAAGCGGAGGCAGATCCAAGTGACCATTCCTGAGATCTGCATTCCTCCTCCCCAAGTCACTTACAGCCAATAACCATCGTACCTAAGAAGGACCTGCGAGCAGAGTTTTAAGTCAAACTCTTCAACCCCAACTCCTATGTCATTAGCGTCTATGTAGAAACCCCTGAGAGGCCACTCAAAATGGCCTTTACACACCAGAAGCTTGATAGGCAGGCAGAGGGAGTGGTGAAGTATCAAACATTTCGAGTGCCTCCCATCCTTACTGGACTCAATAGCTCCAATGAGTTTCTTTTCTCCTCAATTAAGTGTTAGTACAGAGCTAAAACTGACTTCCCAGATGAGGTTTATGTCATCAGAGGAAACAAATGTGTTCTCTAGGTTCTCCTTGACCATATCCACCCTGAGAATTTGAGTTTGATAATGTCAAGAGTCTTGCCACTGCAGTCACTACTATATTTCTACCCATTCACAGCAGTGTCTGCCTCTAAGAGACACACAGTGACTATTTTGTGGATGGATGAATTCACGGATAAATGAGCAACTGTGAATGTTAGTAAGTAAACACTGTTTTATTTATAATTACAGAAGGAAAGAATGTTTTACTCAATCTCGCCCACTGAAAATATACTTAAGTTCGAACAGCCGTTCAATTACATCGAGTAATTGCCCATTGCTGGATTAGTGATGCAATCCAATTCCTTGAAAAATAAGCTTGTGTTATCAAGTCAGAATTTCATTGGTCATTAAGTGGTGACCCAGCAGCTTTCTCTCTGACAACAGTGAAGGTCATCTCTGAAGTCAGCAAGCATGACTCATCTTTTCATTTCTAAGGACCGTTCCTTGCAGCTCCAGTATGACATCTGCTTAAAAGATGAAGCCAGCCCTATCCCAAATAAAGGCATCCGGACAGCCCTTCAGGGATGAATGTTTTATTGGAATACAGGCACTTGACAGAGTAAATACATGGTTACAAAGTGTTTTTAGTTTACTTGCTTTATATAATGAATGCAAAAAAATAAAACAGTGTAGAATTCTTTTTCACTAAGTCTCAGACTTGAGAAAGCAAATCCATAGTTGTGTGTGGCTATGGTACAGATGGCGCATGGCCTGCATTCTCACATAGTGGAACTATTTTATGGTTTAAGATTTTGAGTCAATAATGTACTGAAGACTATGTAGCTCACATAGCTCCCCCAACACACTTTTGGGTTAAAGTAGGACCTCCAGCCTGCTAGGACCTCCAGTCCTCTAGCTGAAACCATACCCCCAGGCCACATTTTACAAACAAGTTAAAGTCACTTTTGTCTCAGAGAACTGTAAAATTCTTTGAAGTCACTGACTTTAATCTGAAGAATTACAATGGCAAACATGAGGATCTGTATAATAATAATAAAACCTACAGATTTTATAGGCCAAACATAATGATGTGCCCTTCTTTGCACTCAACCTCTTTGAAAACGACAACTGGAATATGACTTGGTAATCTCCAAGGGGTGTGTGTGTGTGGTTCCTGCATGATTCCATACACTGGGCCAAGTTACACAGGACAAAATAACAAGTCATTTTTTTCCCAAGGAAAATCTCTTTCTTTGTGAAAGGTCAGTAAGTAGCATAACTGGTTTTAAAGTCCTGGAGTTTGGGCCAAGAACCAGGAGTCTTTAACAGCTTTGCCGAAGACAGAAGTTGCCCATTCAGATCCCCAGCACCTTGCTTCACCATGGACACAACAGGACACAGGTAAATTTATGAGAAGCTAGACAAGCTTTTGACACGTCACCACACACACACCCCATGCACAGTGGCCTCCTCATCCATCATCCAGTGTAACAGCTGCCTTGCCTAGTTTGGAGAACTCGGCTGTGTGAAACACGCATGGAAGGGTTCTTGGAGTTTTCTAAAATGTCTTGCTACTTAGTGCCTATTCCTCTCTGGCCTTCCTGATCGGCACTGGTTCTCATCTGCTAATTCGTGGAGTTCTTGCCATTTGCTCTAGTTGCTTCACTGGCGATAGGTCTTAGTCTTCTGCTAGAGCACACTTGATATTTGCTATCTTTGTATGTAGTTACGTATCAAGTTTAAATCTTTTCATTCCACTAGAAGGGGAACTGTAGTGAGAGATCCACCCAGCCGCATCTGTGGCGCTGACCACAGGTGCGTACATGAGCAGGTATTTGGTCTGGGGTCCCGGACAAGCTCCCTCTCTCTTGGTTCCGGCCAGGTCACGGAAAGCAGCCTGGGTGTGGATCCTTGGAACTGGAACTTGCGGGTCATCGGTTCCTTTTGTAAGTGACTTCTCCCCAAATTAACCTACATTTAACCAAGTCCCATGTATCTTAATCTGTGCTTCTACACTCTCATTTACACATAGTTTCTCATGGGGTGAGCAAAAGGAGAGAAGATGAGCGTTCTGGAGTGGGGTTGGCATGAGCTGGGACTCTGTGATAGCCGTGGCTCTCCGAGAAAGAAGGGCAATGTTTGTGGGGCTAGACAGTTTTCTGGCTCCCTGCCTTACCAGGCAGTGCTGCTGGCCATTTGGCCACCTGCCCCTTCAGCGTTGGACTTTATTTATGGGAAGATTCAACAAGGTCAGAAAGTTAATTAAAAACCTCTCCCTGTCTAAAAGCAAGTCCCAAATAGGCCTGCACAGTAGTGTGCCAGGTGTTTAGTTCCCACATTTCCACAGCGGCATAAAACTTGTCAGTCTTTGTGCTGGGTCGTGGATTGCTAAAGTTACTTGGCATGCAGAAAGCCATTATTCAAGGCTGTGGGTTTCCAGCAGAAAGAACAAATGATGACTAATCCCTCGTTTCAGTCCTTGAAAGTCCTTGAAGAAAGGAGGTTGTGGAAAAGATAGGGAGTAAACACAATTTTGGTACAGCATGCTGGAGGCCAGGAGTAAGGTAAACAGGGACCACCGAGAGACAGGCTTCCTTACTTAATGGTAGGACACAAGCATTCTAAGAGAAGGTGAAATGATTCACATGAGACCATGCTGATGTGATTATTGCTCATCCTTTATGACTTAGAAATCCTTTGTGGGAGGCGTGGGAAGGGAAGTGACTGGATTCCTGCTAAGTCCTCTGAAGGAGAGGCTTGATGGGACGAGTGAAAACAAACTCTGAGGACAAAGTGTGAGGTCCTGATGTAAAAATGTGAAAGGAAGTGTCGGGCAGCCCAGGACTGCAATGTTCAGGAAACATTCAGATTTTTCTGAAACACAGTAAGATACGCCTTTTGGACCCATTGAAGTTGAGTCCATTCATCTCTTATACTAACTGTTACGGGTTGCAATCTATGTTAAAGGTGAATTCCTTTCTGTTTCCTTCAGAAAGTGAGAACAGTGGTCTTTCCATTATGGTATCCCCAGGCTTGCTACCTGTTAGGGTACCTAAGAAACTATTTGCTGAATGACCAAACCATTTCTACTTTTGGTGATATCTTGGGAATGACAGAAACTTGAATGATTTCACTCATTTCTTTGTTCACTCATGCATTCACTTGTTCCCTTCTGAGAATAAACCTGGACTGTGTAAATAGAGAGAGTGAAAGCTGTCATGGTTTGAAACTTAAAGTTGGAAAAAAATTCTTTCCTTCTAGACTAAATTCTCATGAGCCCTTTAATTTATATGAAGCAAAAACACCTGATCTTTAGTTATTACTGTGTCTAGCAGAGCATGTACTAGCCGTTCAAATAATGTCTGTGTAATTGGGAGGTTTTGAGCTAGAAAATTTAGCTGAGCACTTTGCACAACCAATGAAATCTCTTGCCCCACCTGAATTTCCTCAAAAAGTGATTAACTAAGACAAATCAACAAAATTAACCAACAAGGAATTGATAGCAGGATTAGGAGCAGGGCCCTAGATAGTCCACAGACCTTCCACCTTGGAATTTTCCTCTGCATCGCCTGAGATCTGCCAGCCATGACTTCACAGGGCACGGGTGCCTAGTGCTCATGACTCTCTCTTTCTTGTGGCCTGGCAATGGACAAATGCCACTTGAGGGCAGTGAAGCAGGTGGCAAGGCACTCTTGCTAAAAATACCTTAACGTGCAACCATCTGTACCACAGTTCAGTGCAGAGAATACGGAGGGCCAGCCCCGGCTCCTTAAGTGTGTGCTGTAGTACTGCTTCCTCTCTGGAGCCCTTTACTGCTTTTTACCCCAATACTCCTGCTCTCCCATCATTTCTAGTAAGATGCTAAAGCAACCATTCTCAGGGAGCGGTCCAGTTCCCCAAAGTCGACCTGAATCTTCACACCCTGTATACATTTCATTCAGATTAAGGAAATTTTATAAATTTTATAGCAACCCACATGCAATCCCCTATGGACACCCATAACTAACCTCTTTGACCAACAGCTTTAAAAGAAAAACTCTGGCCAGATTGTTTCTACTACTCCTCTGAGGGCTGTTCAGGGGAGTTCCCATCATTATCAAGCATCTCTGGGATGCTGGCACCTGGGGCGTCCTCTACCACCCACTGGCACAGGTGCACGTGAGCGGCATTGACTTGCTCAGTATCCACAGCAAGGGCTGGGCTATCATTCCCTCCCAGCACTTCTGGATTCTCAGAAACCTGGGGCATCTCATTCTTCTCCATAGAACAGACGGGATAAGAACTTAACATGGCATCTTCTTGCAGTGTGACCGCCACGGCCTCGCTGTCTACGTGGGTGGTGTCCTGTGTGGAAACCATGGCTGGGGGCACCTCCTCAGTGGGCTCTGGAGCCTCGGATGGCTCCTCTATGGGACTTAGACAGCCTGTGTCCTCAGTGGGTCCCCCACCAGTGGACTGAGAGGGAGTGCTAGCTTCTGGCAATGTCCCCAAGTCTACTCCAGAAGCCTCTACTTCCAGAGGGGTAGGCTGGCCCCCCATCTCGCTGACTTCACTTTCTTCAGCGTTGTCCTGCTGGATGGCAGCTGAATGGCTGGCTTCTGGGTAGATCTTGTCTTCTTCTTTTTCATTTTCTTGGGGAACAGGTGTCTCCTCGTGTGTATTGTTTTCAGTCACTGGGGTAGACTCCACGGACACTGTCACAGTCAACAGTTCTTTCAGCTCCTTCAAGGACCCTGGAGTGGTGATGGACTCTGGCTCTTCACGGGTGGGCTCTTCGTCTTTAAGGGTCTCGCCACCTTCCACCTCTGGCAAGCGTGAGCTGAGGGGTCCTGCCGTATCCTCTGCAGTGAGAGGACTCCCCGCAGAGCTGTCCACACTCGACACAGTCACCTGCCCATCCCCACCTGAAGGAGGACTGGACCCAGGGACGGAAGAACTTTCTTCTCTGGCCGGTGAGCTGGGTACCCCAGGCTGCTGTTTCTTTTCCTCTGGCTCCTGGAACACTTCATTATCTGGAGCCCCTGGGAGAATGGCAGACACTCTTCTGGCTGGGCTGGCCTGGTTTGACCCCACAGAGGTTTTGAGATCTGTCAGGCTGGATACACTTTCGCTGGGCAAGGCCATGTTGTCTTCAAATAAGTTGTGTTTCTTCAAGATAGCTGCCTCCGTGATCACTGAGAGAGACCGGAAAACAAGACATGGCATCAGTACTCCATCAAGCAAACCTGGAATTTTCTGATTTTACTCGGAAGCCAATCATTCCTACAGGCTCCTCTGGCTCTCCAATTCTTCAGTTTCAAGACCCAGCTTAGGAATGACCTCTTGCAGGTAGCCTTTCCTGATTATCAATGCCTGCAAACTTTCCAGACTCTGAGTCCTGATAGTGCCCATTCACAAATTTCTTCAGTCAAGAAACCCTTGCTAGGCATCTAATCTGAGGCTAGCATCCATTCAGAGGAGAATAAAAGGAAGTGTTGGCGGCGCACGCCTTTAATCCCAGCACTTGGGAAGCAGAAGCAGGTGGATCTCTGTGAGTTCGAGACCAGCCTGGTCTACTGAGCGAGTTCTAGGACCGCCTCCAAAACAATACAGAGAAACCCTGTCTCAAAAAACAAACAAACAAACAAAGAAAACAAAAAGAAAAAGAAAAAAAGAAAGTGTTGGCTTTCAAAGCGCTCAAAGTCTATAAGAGTATCATATACATTGGTGTCACTCAAAGTCTATAAGAGTATCATATACATTGGTGTCACTCAAAGTCTACAAGAGTATCATATACATCGGTGTCACCGGGATGCTTAACCCCACTATGACGGGGCAGGCTTTCCACTTTCTTGTTTTGTCTGACAGCCTGGTCCTGATTGCATATGGGTATTCAGGGCTAAGCATGCCGCTTGTTTGGCCTGGAGTGTTCACAGCTCGTGAAGAGGGTGTCACTATGGCAGAGACAGAAAGGCTAAGGGCAGTGAGCAAGATTTTGTCAGCAGCCAGCACTAGTGTGTCATGTGACAGATGACATCTTACAGCATGTCTGAGGCAGAGGGGAGGTTGCAGAGGAGAGGAATCTCCTTCCAACTTACTTAGACATGTCTGTGGCAGGCTGTCCATGACCTCTGTGCAGATGCCATGTCAACACCTTGACCTTCCTCATCTGGGACCCCCTGTGATTAGCTACTGGGACCTGAGGTTAGTGCTGGCCCATTTCTTTCTTTGGAGGAGGTGATTTAGTAATCAACACTAAATCAGTTTCACTCCTACAGACGGATGGTAGCCTCCTCCAAAGTATTTTCAACATATTTCCATTCATACTGTAATCCTAAACAGGGCCCCACGACACAGCACAGTGAGTGCCAGACTCCTAGCGAGGGTCTCAGGGTGACATGCCGTTGTCCCTTATCTCTGTCTGACTGGGTGGAGGGAAGGAATGGGCTGAGGGGCAAGTGTCGGGCCCCGCTGCTGGAGTCACCTCTGTTTGCCTATGAAAGCCCTTTGCTGTTCTGACACATAGTGGCAAAGGCAGATCTGCAGGACGGACCCTCAGTTCAGCCCCCACTAAGCTTTGGTTTCTTTCCTCTTCATTGATCAAGTCTGAGCTCTCATCCCGCAGGGTCCATGCTTGCATTGAAAGAGGACTATCATGGCCACATGGTGCACAGCTCGTGAACACACAGCAAGGTTGGTCCTGCCTGCCTGCCTGCCCTCTCTTTGCTGTCTCCCCTGCACCCCAAAATCGGATGTAGCTCTTCCTCACCTGACCTTATAGCCTCCAAGAGTTCTGTTTCAGGCGCACTTCCCATTATGGAGCGCTCCCTCCGGGCAGGGCAAGCCGTCCTTACCTTTCAGGGTTTCGTCAAGGAGGATCTGATACAAGATCTCTTCGTAGACGTTCTCGACATGGATCATATTGGTGTGATCTGCGAAGATGAACTGCTCATACTTCTGAAGCTCCTGGAGAGAGACAGATAAAAGGATGAAGAAGAAAAGATACGATGTCAGAGGAATGCAACGCAAAGCTACATTGAAATCCCACCTCACGTGAGCAGAATGGCAAAAACAACAAGATAAACCATAACAACGACAACAAATGCTGGTGAGGATGTGGAGAGAAAGGGAGCCTTTACACATGGCTGGTAGACATGGAGTTAGCTGAGGCATTGTTTACGTTGTGTGGACCTTCCTGGGAAAACTTAAATTAGAACTACTGATGATCCCGCTACCACCATTGCAGCTATACCTGAAGGAAGCTGCTCTTCGTAGCCAAGATATGGAACGGTCTACAAGCCCATCAACAGATGAATGAATAAAGAAACCGTGGTATGTACACAGTAAATGAAAGTATGTCACATGCAGGAAAATGGATCAAACGGAGATAACTGAAATCATCCAGACCCAGAAAGACAAGCAGCACCTATTTTCTCTCACATGCACAATCTAGATTTAGGAAAAATTTAAAAAGACATAAAGGCAGAAGGAAGAATATCAGGAAGAAGATTGGCAGGAGAGAAGAGTGGGGACAAGAGAGGGCGATGGGGTGAGAATAGTCAAAATGCAATCTGTGCACAGATAAAAATAAAAAGAAACCCATTACTTTTGTTGCAATTAATGTAGGATACTGAAAACAAAAGAAAAAAACCCCACAAGATGTCTGCTTTCAAAAGAGATAAGGAAAGAGCAACTCCCACTTAACCCCTCCTCCTAGAAGAGCCTGGAAGGACAGCAGCTGGTGTTATAGGCTAAAGATGCTGAGATGAGGATGCAGCCATGTCTCCCTGTGCCCCCTTGCCTCCTGCTATGTACTAAGCGCTTCACTGCGGTAAGGAGGCACTCACCTTTGGCCATCTGCATCCCTTTTGTGCACTGGGGATGCATCCTGTGCACTTCAAATGGGAAGAGAGCAGAGATTTTTTTTTCAGTCCTCTCAGGGCCCCTGAGGGGTACCATGTCCTCTTTTTCTCTATAGTAACCAATGTTTCCTTCTTCATTTTTTATCTGATGCAAATAGTACTTTACCAAACTAAAAGTTATATGCAGTGAATTGCAGATTTTAAAAGTGTAGCCTGATGACATTAACTATAATAAATATATACATGTGACCATAACCCAGGTCCCCTTCCAGTCCACACCCCTCCAATAGATAAGGTCTGATCTGACGTCTGTCACAGTAGGTTAAGTTTTGCATGTAAATGAAAGCATGTATCGATTTGTGTCTGCTTTTCAGATTTTTCCACATTGCTACATGGGTGAGCAGTGATTTCCTCTTTAGTGATAAACATCATTCACTTTATAGGTAAGTTGGAATTATTCATCCCTACTCATTTGACATTGTCTGTAGTGATATGAATAAGAATGTCCCCAGTGGGTCATATTTTTGAATGCTTAATCACCAAGGAACGGCACCATTTGATAAGAGTTAGGAGGTGTGTACCCTTTTTGGAGGAACTATGTCATGGGGGGGGGTGGGCTTTGAGGTTTCAAATGTCCACACCAGGCCTAGTTTCTCTCTGTCATTGCCTCTGTTCTTGTCTCTCTGTCCCCGTCTCTCTCTGTGCCTGTGGATAAGGATGTAGTTCTCAAACAATTCCTTGGCACTATGCCTGCCTGCATGTTGTCATGCTCCCTGCCTTGATGATAACAGACTAAACCTCTGAAACTGTAAGCAAGCCCCCAATTAAATGCTTTCTCTTATAAGTTGCCTTGGTCATGGGGTCTCTTCACGGCAACAGGGCAATGACTAAGACACTGACTTTATTACTAAGGAACATTTTTGTGTACATTCTGTTCTGTACAGACAACTTAAGAACTTGTTTATTTTAGGTAGATACCTAGAAGTGAGGTTTCTGGATCAGATGTAGACATATATTCAACATTATTAACCCAGAAGTCCTTTTCCAGTTGAGAACCAAGGAGTCTGTCTTCCTCTTCAACTGGAACTGACAATCTCCAATTCCAAGACAGTTCAGACATGATGCAAAATCCCTTGACTTTCCCAGCCTCCCAAAGGCTTCCAGATGCCTTGTTACCAGCATGAAAACCATAAATGCCACTGATTATATGACAGAGATGAATTCAGCTATCCAGGCACATGGCAGTACTGGAGGGAGGCTCTTAAGAACAAGGATTGGCAAGGGGAGTTGATGCCTTTTGGTCTGATGGCCAGCATTTGTAGCAGGCAGCAGGGAACTACCGCATCCAGAGAGTGCTAAGACATGGGGTGTGGCCCAGGTTATGTGGTCCCACCAATGGATGGCAATAGGGCCAATTTATGTCCACTGAGAAGAAAGGTGAGAGAATCAGGAGACAATTGGCTTCAGTGATCTCTAGATGCTGTAATAGACAAGAACCATGAAGATGTGGAAGGGGCATTGCCCAGGAAAAGATACTGCCCATGGGAGCCTGGGTAAGGAGGGCACCGCTCTGGGCCGGTCTTTACTTCTGTTATATGAGGGGTGCAAGCTCAGGCCTCAACACCCTTTGCTCCTCACTCCCCTGTGAAAGCAACACTCTGGGGAATCCCCTGAATGGCCCGAGCCCAGCTAGGCATGTGGCTTCCCTGTGCAGACACTGTTGTGTTGCTCACATGGCATCTTGTGTGCCTGCCATCTGCCTCTCTACTGTGAACTCTAGGACAGCAGGGACTGTAACCTGGATCGTGTTTTATATCTGGATCATGTTTGACACATCTTTGAGGTGTGTTTGCTGCATAAATAGAAAACATTTTCATCCAACTGAATAATTCTATGGGAAGGGCAACGGAGGAACACTTGCTGGGATATCTCTAATTTTACAAAGCACGTCTTCCATGATGAGACAATTGAACTGGGTCAGATGCTTAATTTTCTGGATCAACTAAAATGAAATCCTGATATCAGGACTTGGAGGGTAGTTAAGAAACTGAAATGCTACCATGGGCAATTCTACTGCATAGCTAGGGTAGAGTGGAATGTCACAGATCTAGGAAATTGCTACCGAAAGAACTAAGAAAAACTCACTTTAGGAAAATAAAGGCTACCATGAAGCAGATAGCCCTCTAACATATCTGCCTATAAACCTGGGGTTCCAAAAGCTCTGACACTGACACAATGTCCTTTACCACCAAAAACTCAGGGTCCGGGCTCTTTTGAAAGCAGCCTGTCTCCACTAACAATGGCAGGAGCCGTGGCTGGAGGGAATGACTCATTGACTAAAGCATCACTTTTGCCTATATCTGGATCCCTGTCACCCACATAAAAGCAGGGGGAGGGGGATGGTCATTAGACTGCCTGTAAACCCAGTGCTCAGGAAGCAGAGACAGGGTCCCTAGGCCAAGTTGTCTGGGTGGACTAGCGGATTGGCAAGCTCCAGGTTCAATGAGATGGAGGAAGACATCCTGCATGCTAAGAAACAGAGGGCATAGGAGGAAGGGATGCCCTCCTCCCTCCCCCTCACAGAGAAGGTAGTGGTAAGGTAGGCCTCCATGCTTCCCTTGGGAGTGAAAACACATTTTAAGCACATCTCTGTGTGAAGACACACTCTGCGGTAGATTAGTAATCCCTCAGGCTACTATGCTCCATCACGCACAGCCAAGGGACACTCAGACCAATTCCTTTCTCCTTTGGTTTTCTCAGATCTTTTCATTCCAAGAAATGACTCCAGGAAGAAATGCAAGATTGAATATGCCAATGACTATCTGAGACAAACAGCATTTATAGAATATGAAAACACCCAGAGGAAATTCCGCTGTATAATAACCCATACAAAGGATTTTAATGTTCAGTGCTTGGAGACTCTCCAAACTGTCAAAAAGACATTTGAAAATTCTATGATGCTCTTTCTTATTGACTCCAAGGGGGAATGGGCCTTGAAAATGGCCAGACTCCTAAGTAATTTTTTTTGAATGCAGGAACAGTCATAGTAATAGTTGTAGGAGCCCCATGTTGTTCCTCACAATCATGGCTGCCCTGCTTCCCCATGCTCATACCTCACAATCATGGCTGCCCTACAACCCCATCTCCTTCCTCACAATCATGGCTGTCCTGCAGCCCCATGTTCACAAGAGCTTACATCAGAGATTTCAGTAAACTACAGATACAGAAGGTAGGAGAGCAAATGAACTTAAGATCTTTCCTGGGTGTCGTAGCCAACTTTCAGATCACTTGCTAGTGATCTGACAATAAGTGGGAGAAGGTCTCATCTCCTTTGGCAATCCATGTCAGCCTTTAGAGCTTGGCTCAAGTCCAGTCGTTAGCCCCTGTAGTTTAGGAGTCACAAATCCTGAGCTGCGTGTGTGCATGGGTGCCTGCGTGTGTAAGTGTATGAAACACAGACTTTATATATTTATGCGTCATCTCTGGCTGCTCTTGCACTACACAGCAGTGCCCAGTGTGTGCAACAGAAGTGCCCACGAAGCCTAAAACATCTGCCAGACCATGCACAAAGAAATCACCAGCCCTCTGGTTTAGTCTAGCATTTGCCAGTGCAGGAGTGCAAACTAAAACTTGAGTCAACAAGAGCAGGCTGCTGGGAGCAGCCCATTTCCTTACCGGTTTGCATGTGGCCGCCAGTGCCTTCTGCACGGTGGGCAGTGTGATTTGAATCAATGCCTCCTGGAAGATCTTCTTCCGGATGGTGCTGCTGTCATAATCGTATTGCTGCGAACACAGAGACTCAGGTTAAGGAGCACAGTTTCAATCTGTTACTTTCACTTAAACAGTAAAACAATACACCCATCCAGTCATCTCCCATCTTCAGCCCCCACTGATTTCTGAGACTCTCATAAGTTTAGGGTCTCAGAGCTCTCTTTCTGGAACTCTTGCACAAACTGGGTCTGGGCTGTGCAGTCATGATCCATTTCACCCACCCCTTTGACAAATAAGGAAACTGAGGCAAGATCAAAACAAAGAAGTGATGTTATGTAAAGATTCGGCTCAAACTAAAGAGTGAGTTTGTGTTTCACTACTCCTAGCTGGGTACACACAGGGACATCATGGATATCAATTATTCTTGTCCTGCAAGCAGGCTGGGTGACTTATAATAAAGTCCACAAGGGGAGAGAGGCTGTGGCTTAAAGCTCCATCAACAATGAACATCCCAAACTGGAATCTACGTTGCCGAGCTGAGTGGTTACAATAGAAACAGGCCCACAGGGACTAAAACATCTACCTGACACTTACAAAAGAGTTCACCCGCTGCTCTCTGTTTTAGTCTAGTGCTTGGAAGTCCGGGAGGGCAAAAGAACACATTCAAACTTAAGAGTCAGCAAGAGCAGGCTCATGGGAGCAGCCCATTTCCATCCTGGTTTGCGTGTGGATACCGGGCCTTGTGCACAGGCACTCAAGAGAATTGCTGTGAGCACGTAAACACAACGGTTTGGCCAAAGCAAAAATGGCTGGAGAGGAGAGCGCTCGCACTACAGATCATAAATGGGAGCAAAATTACACCCCTATCTAGCCAAAGGCCACCAAGTGGAGAAGGCAATGGAGGGAGGTGGGAGAAGCAGAATCACCAGTGCCAGGAGCCTGGATCTAACATCAGCACACACGTTCCTGCAGGCACATTAGTAAGAGCTAGAACCGGCTGTTTGGGGAGGCGAATCTGTTCTGATTTGGAGGGGGCCAAGTACTCGTGGCACCAACTCTGGCAGAAACAGATTTTGTTCTTTCCTTTTGGTTTTGAGTAACAAATACTTTATTGGTAAGTTCAGGGTTTTAACTGCAGCAATACATCCATTTGAAAAGGAGTGTGGTGTTTTGAAAGAAAATGGCCCCCAAAAGGAGTGGCACTATTTGGAGGTGTGGCCTTGTTGGAGTAGGTGCAGTCTTACTGGAGGAAATGTGTCACTGTGAAGGCGGGCTTTGAGGCCTCATTTATGCTCAAGACACTGCCCAGTGTCTCAGACCACTTCCTGTTGCCTGTGAGTCAAGCTGTAAGAGCTCTCTGCTCCTCTCCAGAACCATGTCTGGAGAGGAACAAAAAAGCCAAAAAAAAAAAAAAATGCTTGCAAATTATCAGAAAAGCTGGCCATCTGGGCTGTCACACAGAAATCCAAAATTACTGAAAGGCCAAATCTTGAAGACGATCTGTCCTCTTATTAGTCCATATGATGTAGGTCCCTGCTACCTGGTGTCTACAGAATTCTGTAAGTTGTCACCTTCTATATAACTACTCTCTATATAAACATAAAATATATAACTACTCTCTATATAAACATAAAACTACAGCTTTTACAGCTACCTGATGGACTAGTGGTGAGGATTTTGTCTCCTTCCAAACCAATTGCTCTTTTACAAATGTTTGACTTTCAGATCACTTGAACTTTTCTTTTACAATTACAACGTGGCCTCTCTAAATAAAAGAGAGGCTAAGCCGGACATGGTGAAATGTAGCCAATACTATGTTTGAGTGAGGCAGAAGTGCTGAAACCATCCGTAGCTAGTCTCCTGTCACATAGGTCTGTTCTATAGTTCATCCAACGTTTAGGATGCCTGCAAGGTTTCCAGGGAACCCCGACTCTAGAACACATGTCAAACGGTATGTGACTCATCCACAGCTGTGTATTCCATGGCCCCAAACACCACCGGAAGTTCCTCGCCCAGGACTCAGGTGGGCCTGGTTCACTGGGCAGCGACAATTTAACACCGACTAGAAGGCTGAACGTGAGGTATTCTAAGTTCCTTTCAACTGAAGACTGGGACACCTTTATACTTCCTCTCCTGTCTGCCAAAGCATGTGATGACTGTAGTTGGACCTCTTCCCCTCAGTGCCATTGCTAGTGTGCTATTATCTGTGTTGTGATGATCAACGATGCTTTTCACCTCAACAGTTTGGTTGCCAGAGAGTCTCCTGCCTGAGCGGCACCAAGATGAGTCTGGAACTCTGGGACTTCAGTCTTTTGCTCTAAAACGCTGTTTTCTGCAGAGCCGGAGATAGCAGAAACGAGTGGGCCAGGCGTAACTACAGTTCCAGCTCCAAGCTCGTGGTTCGCTAGCCTGCTGAGCTCGAGTAAGTCAGTTCAGCTTTCAGGAAGCCTGCTTCCTCATCAGCCCTGGGGGTGAAGTCTAATGAGCTCAGAGGAAGTCAAAGGAAATGGTACAGTTCTGGGGTCATTTTCAACAGGCCTGGAGAGATGCTTATGTGGGTGAAAGTGCTTCCTGTCTTTTGAGGACACAAATTCTGTTCCCAGCACCTACATTGGACTCATAACTATCTGTACCTCTAGCTCCAAGGGACTGGATATCCTTGTCTGGCCTCCATGGGAACCCACATACAGGTGGCATACATGCAAACATACATAAATAATAAAAACTAAAAATAGAAATTTTTGGAGTGACATTTTAGGAACAAAAAATCTTAGGAACATGAATTTTTAAAAAGGCTTTAAATAAGTACCAAATACATGTAAGCTCCTATTATCACAAGTTTTATTATGTACATATACCTAAAACTCATTAAAAACCATCTCCTGTGGCAGGTATACTTTCTCTTGGGATGGTTCCTTTGGCTCTAAGTTTGGTTTTTACTTAAAATGTTGACTAATTTAGTGAATTAGTACTTGGAATTCTAGGCTGCAGCTGACCTACTGTCATATACTATGCAATATCTGTCACAGTGTTTGCAGTGGCTAGTCATTATGCATTTGCCAAGTTGTGAAAATAACCCCACAGGTCACTTCTAACTTTAGAGTTGAGGACATGTGGTTCCTGAAGAAGCCACTAGATGGCAGGAGAGGCACAAGAGTCACACTAGGGAAACTGAACAATGGTCATCTGTGCTTAGGAAACAGGGCTGATGGGGTGAAAGGGAGGTCAGAGTATTTCTAGCTGAGGAACAGGAACAGGGGTCACAATCTTGTCAGGCTCTCCCAACAAATGAAGGCAAAGCTCTTACCTTTAAGACACGGAGCTTAACCTTCTCGATGGCAGCTGCTGTTCTGGAAGCCTCTCCTTGGAGATGTGGGGAGAGCAACTGCTCAAATGTGAACACTGCGTTCTCCATGAGCTGTCAGTGAAGCCAACACAGAAGCAGAGCACAGTTAGGGCTGGGAACAGGGACCCTGGCCTAGGCTCCGGCAGGAGGAGATGAACACAGTTCCCCCATGTACAGCTATGGGGGTGACACAGTGCTTATCCTATTCCCTGGGCTGTGAAGCAAAACACCTAGTGGCCACTATGAGTATGAAGAGGGTGGAAAACACTTCTCTCCACACACACACACACACACACACACACACACACACGCATGTCTGTCTGTCGCTGTCTATCTGCATAATGGTTTCCTTTTGTCCCCGCATCTACCCATCATTCTTAGCGGGAAGGAAACCCCAGGACAGAGGGACTCAGAGCCAGGGTCTCCTGTGGTCATTCTCCTCCGTGCTCTGGTGAGCAGACACAGATCACACGAAAAGCTGGGAGAAGGCTCCACATCTAGAAGGACATAAGTCACTCTGCGCCACACACTCCCTCTATCGTCCGGCCCACTGTCCCATAGCCCCCTTGCTCTGAGAGGCTCGTGTCCCGGCTTGGATATGGCATGGAGGCTCACTCCTGTTTTGAACGCTGGGTCCTCGTCGGGTGGCGCTGTGTGGGGAAGTTACTGAATCGGATGCGGGCTTGCTGGAGGAGGAGGGCTGGAGGACTACAGCAAGGCCCCACTTCCAGCTCAGGTCCTCTCTGCTTCCTGGACACCTGCTGCCTGCTCCCCCCTCTTAACTCCACCGTGACCTCTTGCCTTGATGGACTGTCGCTCTCAGTCTGTAAGCCAAAAGGAATCCTTCCTCCCTATGTTGTACCTTTGGGCACTCTGTCACAGCAGTGAGGAAGGACATTAATAGAGCTGAGGGAGAGGCGGGGTCAGGGCTCCCTGGCAGTAGTGGCTGTCACACTGGGGACAGGGCTTTATTGCTCAGGAAAGTGATATAACTCAGATGACTTAGTCTGCAGTTGTGCCTGCGTTTGTTTCTCCAGGACCCAGAATTATCCAAGGGATTGTTTTTATATTGATCCATTTATCCTTTATGTTTTTGTTAAGGCAGGGTTTCATTCAGCCTAGGCTGGCCTTGAATTTGCAATGTAGACAAAGAGGACCTTAACCCCCTGATCTGATTCTCCTGCCTCTACCACCTCAATTCTGGAGTTACAGGTGTAACTCTAGGTATTTGACACCATGGTACATATACAGACAAATGGACATGCACAAACATACATGCAATAAAGTCAATTTTAAAATGAAAAATGAAGTATGAAGTTGTAATGGGTCTCCTTTGCAATGAGGTAGGGAATTCAGTCAGTGTTTCTAGGTCCTGGCTACAGTGGGATAGAAGTACAGGACATTCTCTAAGAATTTCAAATATATTATAAAACACACACACACACACGCACACATACATGAAATCACTAGGGGTGGGGTACCACATCAGTAGTTCTTAAATTTTCCCCATGTGTTTCTAATATGTAGCCAAAGTTTGAAGTCTTGATTCAACCCATCAAATAATTACCAGCTAATGCTACTTTATTTCCCAGATTGTTGTTTTCTGAGGAAAGATGAAGCCAGCTGGAAGGGCAGTGTGTGTCCTCAGTCAACCTGACTCTGGAAACAGACCTCAATTCCCTGAGCTACAGAGCACCCCAGTGCGCTTCTCCTTCTCTCTCTTTTCCTTCTTGCTGCAGCCTCCTCCTCTCCCCCCTCCGTCTCCCCTGGGGTGCGTTTCTCCTTCTCTCTCTTTTCGTTCTTGCTGCAGCCTCCTCCTCTCCCCCCTCCGTCTCCCCCACCTCCTCTCCCTTCAGTACCCTCCTGCTCCCACCTCTTGCATGTAGTTCTGAGTCCTCTGGACCACCAGATCCACATGAGGGAATCTGAAGCGACTCTGGAGATCCAGCAGGCGCTCTGGAAGCAAGGTGACTTTAGTATAACAAGGTTCCATCTTCACAGAATCCAGAGGAAGCTTCGTCAGCTGGTCCAGGCGCTGCATTTTGGTGAAAGAGCAAAAGCAAATGTGCTTAGATTTAGGAATCTTTCCTCGATGTTACAAAATAACAAGACCTACATTTGAAACAATCAAGTGTATGTTATGAGTAAGAATTACTACTTGCACCACTTTCTCGAGACATCGTCTGTTGTCTTCTTTCTTTCTGGGCAGCTCTACTGCTAAGAAGGACACAGAAGAACCAACCAGGCATCAGGAAGACTCAGAGGCACACCCAAGCAGGGGCTCCAGTCTCTAAGTCCTCGGTAGCCTCCAAGTCCCCATTTCCTGAACTCAAGAACCAGCCAGGCAGGCTCTTTGGCAGCCAGGCAGAACTGTTGCTGAGCCCATGAACTCACATAAGATGCTTTAAGGGGTGGAAACTTGTTCCATTTTCTATGCTTAGCTTAAAATGGTTTTAAACTTGAACACTGGAAGCTTAAGATAAATAGGAGAATGGGTGAAGACAGGGAAAAAATGCTGATAATGAAAGCTCTCAAGAGAAGGCAAGTGAGTGTGAATACCATAAGAGACCCTGTCTGACAGGAATTTTCCAAGGGCCCGTTCCATTGTAATTTAAAGGGAAAAAGTATTCACTTTAAGAAGTGAACAATAAATTATAGTTTTCCTTAGTTATGATAAAAGGTAAGCTACATATAATACTTTAGACTCACAGAGATGGGATAGATGATACAATTCTTTCTTTAAATCTTACTACATGTTAATGGACTAAATATTGTAACTATATTCTTATTTGATACCTGTTCTGTTATATATAATTTGACTATATTAAAGTCAAAACATTTCTTTTTATTTAGACAGAAAAGAGGAGATGATGGGGGAAGTCCTTCTGTGTATATGTTTGTCCTATTAGTTGATAAATAAAAGCACTGTTGGCCAATAGGGAAGCAAGTAAGTGGGACTAGGAGTTAAAGAGGATTATGTGAAATGTAGTCAAGAGTAGAGAGTCGCCATGTGATCACAGGAGGAGAGGACACAAGTCTGACGTTCTTGGTAAGATAAGACCTTATAAAAATATATGTTAGGATCAAAGGGATTAAGACTGGGCTGGTTGAACCCCCAGAAACAGCTGACCAGACAAAGGTTAACTCTTGAATCCCAGGCATCAGCCTGGGAATCCAGCATGGGACTGATCAAGACCCCCTGAATCTGGGTGTCAGTGAGGAGGCCTAGGTAATCTATTGAGCCTTGGACAGCAGATCAGTACCCATCCCAAGTATACACACGGTCTCTGGACTCCCATAGAACAATGTGAGGTGCACTCTCACCCTGAACTCTTGGGGAAGGGTCTAGGCCCTGCCCTATATGAAATGACAGACTATGGACACCCCCATGGAGGGCCTCACCCTCCCTGGGGGAATGAGGGGATAACGGGGGGGGGGGATGGGGGGAGGGCACGGGAGGAGGGGAGGGAAAGGGAGAGGGACCTCGTACTGACTTGTGAAGCAACCTTGTTTCTTATCTAAATTTAAAATGGAAAAAAAAATATATGTTAGTAATTATGGGTTAATAATTAAGCCAGAGCTAGCCATTAAGAAATCATAGCAAACACAAATAGCCAACAGCTTCCTAATTTAAAAAAAAAGTGAACAATAGAGAGGTTTACTGAAGGGGAATGGAAGATTAGAAGAGAAAGCCCAATGTTGCACTTGCCTTTGTCCTACAACTATAAATGTATCACTTTCTTTTTTAAAGAGCTATTTTATTTCTAATTATGAGAATATGTGTATTTGTGTATGTGCATGTGAGTGTAGGTACCCAAGAAGGCCAGGAGAGGGCATCAGATCCCCTGTAGTTAGAGTTAACAGGTGGCTGTGAGCCACTTGACATGGGTGCTGGGAACTAAATTTGGGTCCTATGGAGAGCAGCAAGTGTACTTAACGGCTGAGCCAGCACTCAGCAGGAATTACTTTAAAACTTAATTGAATTGTTGAGAGTTTAAATAAGTGATAACACCCCTCACAGACGGTAACATGGGGAGAAGGCTCCCTGCCACAAACAAATCAGTACAATGTAAAATTTTATTATTTTGAAATTTAAGAGAAACATCTGTTAGCATGAAAATTTATCTTTCTACCTAGGCATCTATCCCACTGAAATAAAAGCATCAAGATGTATATACATGTACATGTATCTACAATATGGTAGGATATCTGTACAAAGTTATTTACTATAGCTTTGTTCATGGTGTCAGCAATAATGGGATAGCTGAATAAATCACAGCATTTCTAAACATGAAATATTATGCTGTCATTACAAAAAGCAATTCAGAACTAGATCAGTTACCTTGGAAACAGTTTCATGAAGAAGAAATGTGATAAGCAGCTTAGTATATAAAATAACTGTATTTTTCTAAAAGCAAACAATGTAAGACAACAGCTCTGAAATGTGTGTTTTCTGTATCTTCTAAGATGCAGAAAGCACAGAACAGCACAAGCCGAGGTGGTGCTATTTTTTTGTGGAAAAGTGAGTGGCACTAGAAAATGAGGGAGAATAAAGGCAGGTTAAAACACATATGCTAACACACATGTGTATGCACACACATACACAAGTACCTGCACACACATACCCATACACACACACACACACACACACAAACACACACACAGAGCTCCCCCAACATCCTACACAGGCATGTGCATGCATACAAATACACACATATGGCTGTAATAAGAAGCATTGAGGCATTTACGAAATGATCTTGGTTTGTACAATCACACATGTGGGCATGTGCATAAGGAAATGAGGAGTGCAGCACAGGAGGTGACCATGGCTTACAACAATCTATCATGTGTTCTATAATGAGCTCGAAGAGCTGCCAGCACACAGAAATGAAAAATGTTTAAGCGAACAGAAGTGGTAATTACTTATTGGATCATTCCACACCATCTGCATGTATCAACTGCAAAAACAGGCATATAGAAGCTGCTTTTGCTAAAAGCGAGTTGACTCTTTAGGTAGGTCCACAGGTAACTAAAGCAGGGTAAGCTGGCATCTCTACCTTCATTTAGGATGTCTGTCTCCTTTCCTTTGGCTGAAGAAGGCACAGAGATAAGCCACTGTCCTAAATCTACAGGCACTTTGGATCCTAGGAGGAGCAGAGCCTCCCAGGATACATCCACATAGAGATGAGGGCAGTAACTCTCGAAGGCAAGGCTACACCTGGAGCAGAAGAGACCATCCTGTAGGGACCAGATGGATCCCGGAAGTGTTAGAACGATAAGGGCTACCCGGAAACTGAAGAGCTACAGCTGGAGCAGTGCTCAGGGAGCCCAGGAGAGCTGATCAGGGTCCTGCCCAGTTCTCTCTGTTTAAGCCTAAAGCCCACATCAGCACTTTAGAGACAGAGTGGGGTCTCTGGACTCCTTTATCTGCTCCTCTCCCAAGGTGGGCACATGAAATAGACCACTTTCCGCTGTCCGTCACCGTTACTCATCTCTCTTGTCGGCATGTTGTGACAGGGAGCTGAGCAGAGCCTGTTGGGACGACTGGAGCCAGGCTTCAGCCTTCAACGATCTGGGTAGCATTGTCACAGTGTAGCTCATAAGTGTGCATAATTACAATGTACCAATTAACAGGAAAAGCCCTTTTAACTGGTATCAGGACTGGAGAAAGAAACAATCGCCCTAACAAGTCCTGTCCTTAATGATGTGGTAAGTGCAAGGCCAGCTGCCGGTGTCTGTGTCTCCACTGGAGTACCTACTAGAGCAGATCACACCCCTCCCCCACTTTCTGATTCAATAGATTGAGGTGTCACTGATGCTCGACGAGAATGGGTTCTATCAGGAAGCTATCGCTGTGGAAACAAAGCAGCAACTGTTATTTAAAATAAGGAGTAAGGCTTACATATGAACAGATAAAGCATGCAGGTAAACACACACATGGCCATATCAGTCAATTCAACGGCTTGGGAATGGAGGCAGAGGGACTCGGAGCAGTTGATATCAGTTCTGGTTACTAATTTTACCTCTTTGTGCACATTGAGTTGTATATTTGAGTTGGTTGTTTCACTTATACAAACATTATTTTTGCAACGTAAAAACCATTCATAAAGAAAATTAGGTGTATTTAGTTATGAATGGATGGATGAATGAGTTAGTTGGATAGATATAGAAATACCATAAATGGATGGAAGGGAAAGGGAAAGAGGAGAGAGAAGGAGAGGTTAGAGGGGCTGGAAAGGGAGAGGAGGGGCCAGGCGGGAATAGCAGGAGGTGGGGGAGAAAGAGGGAGGGGAGAGGAGAAACTGGGGAGGGTCAAGGGGGAAAAAGAGGAGGGAGAGAAAAGCGCCCCAGGAAGGCAGCCCAGCAGCTGCTGGGCACTGGGCTCTCCGATAGCTCTCCTACCTCTTTCAGCTGGACACTGTCCTGGGTGGCAGGGAAGCTCTGGCTGAGTTCCTCTACTTCCTTCTCAAAAAGTGCACGCACTTCACTGAAGCCGGAGCTCACCGGCCCCATCAGCTCCTCCAGGATGGATGCCAGGAACGGCTGCACGCTCTCACCACAGCTTTTCTCTGCTGGCTGAGCCACCATTGCTGAAGAGGGAGAAGGTCAAAAGAAGCATGGCTCAGAGGCCACATCACAGCTAACGGGCCCCATCGCAAGTTCAGATGGGCAGAGCAGACTAGCATAACGGGTCCTTTGCCAGCATTCACCAGGCTGGAAAGCCATGCTTTGAGACCCAGGGTGTCTCCAGGACATCTCCTTCCCCAGGCTTCATCAAGCCCTGGGAAGAATTCAGTTCTCTGTTTGATCTCCACAAATGTGCAGTGGCCAAGTAAACTCACTCCCCACTGTCATCGTCACAGATAAACACTTTGTCATCTAAAATGGAATTTATCAGCTTTAAGTCATTTCTCTCAGGGCTAACGCAGTCGGTGTAACACCACCCACCTTCTACTACCAAAGAGACTTTTTAAAAACTCAAATATAATCTCAGGCAAACAGCACCGAGTTCCACTCAGTGTGCCACTCGCTTTCCATCCATGTCATTAACTTAAGACCAAGGAAAAACATCTTTCTGATGAGAATGCCAGGTTTAGTGACCCCCCCCCACACACACTGAAATCATAGAAGGGAGGAGGAAAACAACCTCACCAGCATCCTACCCTCTAGAGACAGACACCGTTTTTGATCTTGGCTCTGTGAAGCTGAGCAGGGTAGGGGATCTGCGTATTTTGGAGCAGAGGGCATGCTCCTGGCCACCTAGGTTCAGAAGCGGTGATGTGGCAGAGGAGGGGTGCACTACCCGACGGGGAAGAGCAACCGGATGAAGGTCAGCGGGTCACATAGCTCTGTCACAGTGTCACACAAGCAAACAGGGAAGAGGCTTTGCATACCCAGCCCCACCACTTTACATATGGAAAAAGGGGAGAGCTGACCGTACTAGATGACTTTACCAAGGCCAAGACTGTAATTCAGAACTGTGTTTAAGTTACTCTAGACATGCTGCCTTCATGAACTCGCTGAGCTACGGTTACCTGCTCATGACCTGTACGGGGACCAGCAAGATGGTTCAGTGGATGCAGGCACTTCCTGCCAAGCCTGAGGACCTGAAGAGAACTGATGCCTGGAAGTTGTTCTTTGACCTCCACACATGTGAAATGTGCACACCCATTTGCACATGCTCTTACACACACACACACACACACACACACACACACATACAGGGATGAATGGTGTTTGAAAAAATGACTTGTAGGAGATCAGTCCGCATTCTAGCGGGCAGCACTAACTGGACTCCTGGTTTACCAAGGAGAGAGAGGGAATGAAGATGGAGGAGGCCGGGAATGTGGAGGGTGAGTGAAGGAGGGGAGTTGAGAGTGGATGTAATCAAGATATATTGTATACAAGTATGAAGTAGTCAAAGGATAAGTAAAAGGCCCTTTTGATGATAGATTCAAATACCAACAATCTGAGTTTTGTAAAACTTAAAAAAAAGGACTTGTTTGAAACCAAATTGCAAAAGCACTTGCCAAGAAAAATAAACTGTCAGTTAGTTAACTTGGTGAGAGGAGCTGTTTGAAAAGCATCTAATTGGAGTTTCAGGACAACCCTGAGCATTGACAATTCGCCGCAATGATCTGGCAATGCTGGGCATATTTGAGAGGTGGGTAGAGATTGCCCGTGCTCCTCTCCTCAGCCTTCCCTGCCTGCTACTGACTGCAGAGTGTGCCAGCCCCGACCCCACCCGGCTCCTCCCTCCACTGGTGAACATCCACCTCATCAAGGCTCTGGGGTCCAGTTTACATGTCACGGACCTGGGACAACCTAATGAACCCCCCCACACACACACCCAAACTGTGGCCTGCAGGTATTTCCTTACAGGTGGAGTACAATTCGAATCCCACCTATACACACGCTGTGCCCTCTTCCAAGTATGCCGGGACGAGGCTGTGGTGACTACGCTGGTGTGACACTAATTCAAGAGCTTCCCTGATGTTTAGCGCTGCTGAGAAGCCTAGAAGACTGGTAGGGCTGGAGGCAGAGCCTGTGTACACTAGCCTTGGGGGGTCAGGAATGTTCCTTAACCATGGCCTCAGTTTTCTTAACTGTTACATTGAGGTGATCGGTTGTGACACTGGCGAGCAGGACCGCAGGGTTTCTCACACTTTCTAATCACCTAATGCTAAAGCAGTGCCTTCCTTAAGAGGCCTCCAGGTTTCTGAAATGGTCCTTTTAGTCCTGGCTTCTCTGGGAGCATTTATCACATTTTCTTTCTGTCTCAGCATCTACAAAATGCTTCACGTCTTCCATGTGTAAAAGTGCATTGACTGCAAACGCTTGATCCTTAAACTCAGCATGAACAGAACAAGTTCTTATTGAACAGATAAATGTGGAGCAGAACGGAAGATCAATGGCTTTACTCCCTAGTGCTTAGTAGAAATGGCGATTTGAATAGGAATGGTTCCCATAGGCACATATATCTTAATGCCTAGTCATCAGATCAGGGCTCTACTTGAGAAGTTGAGCCCAGTGTCTGTCTGTCTGTCTGTCTGTCTCTGTCTCTCTGTCTCTGTCTCTTTCTTTCTCTCACCTGGGGATCTGGATGCAGACCTCTCAGCTGCTTCTCTAACACCATGTCTACCGCCATGCTCCTTGCCATGACAATAACAGATGAAGCCTCTGAAACTGTAAGCCAGCCCCAACTAAATGCTTTCTCTTATAAGAGTTGCTGTGGTCGTGGTGCCTCTTCCCAGCAATAGAACACTGACAGAGACAACTACTTGATGCTCTTGAAACTTTCCCCAAATCCAACCCCGTTCTTCAATGCATCCAGCTTGTTTTAAAGGTAGAGAAGCAGGGGCCCAGTTAAAATGTGTCTGTTATGTTTGCCTTCCTGCTGCCTTTCTTCCTCCCTCCCCTCCTTCCACTTTCTTTCTTTGCAATGTCCCACTTTATTTTCCAGCCTTGAACTCACCATCCTCCTGACCACAGCCTCCTGGGTGCTAGAGATTACCACTGAGTCCACTGCACCTGCCTGATACTTTGTTTTTAAAAAGGATTGTCCATTACTTCCTTGCAAGAGTTATTTTAGGGAATAACTACTACTCTGGGAGCTACAGAAAATTAGGTAGAGACTGGTCAGATTTCAGCCTGGGTAGTTAGGCTCAGATGGACCTGGGAGGACAGAATGTTGGCAGTTTTAGGTGTACATAGAATTGCACCATACACTTGTCCTATGTGGGCTGTGAGGCAGCTCAATATCAAACAGAAATCACACTGATGCTAATCTGTACCTAGCTTTGGAGGCAATGCAGAAACACACCCACAAACACCACACACTTGCACAATTAAGCCTCCTCTAACTTCCTCCCAGGAGAAACCATCCTAAGAGCTCGGAAGCAGGTTGAACTGTAGTATGTAGTATGAAGAAGTATGAATTGCAGGGGATAATCTGCCAGGCAGACAACCCCGTGTTAGACAGGCAACCTCAGGAGCACAACATCTGTCTCAAGTTCCACCATTAGCCCAGAAGACACTTAGCAAATGTTCAGTGTGGAAGTGATCATCTGAGCACTGCTGAGAAACGGTCACCCAGGAGCTTGCACGCCCTCCCTCCGCAGAGACATTAGGTGTGCTCTGTGCATTGGGTTCAGGACTTAAACAGAATACAGGACTACAGAAAGTATCCTATAGACCCCGCCAAGGCTATCGAAGGCTTATGTGTGGGGATGGGCCAGCCATTTCCCGCCAAGGGCCAGGCAGTGGATATCTGTGGCTCTGCACTCCTTAAGGTCTCACTTAAGGTTCCAACATCTCAGCTCTGATGTGGCAGCACGAAGTACTTAGACTGGGAACTCGTGAATGAACATGGCTGTGTTCAATATGACATCATCTATGAAAGCAAGTGGGAGCAGGCCCAGCATGAGGATCACAGCTTGCCAGCCACGCTCTTGTCAGTCCTTCCAACTTCAGATTAGGAGACTAAGACAGACAAGTGTCCTCCTCAAGAACACCTGACTGGCTAATATGCACACTGACTTGGGGCTACAAATACAGATTGACTGACCCTGAGCAAAAATTGGAGGCTTTTCTGTTAAAGAAAACCATGTTCTTTACCACAATACACAGGCACCACCACCAAGCAGGAAGCAAGATTCCCTCTGCCTTGAGTGTGCAAAGCAACCAGGGTAAGATGGGGATCCCTAGAAATACTACAGCATGCTCCTACTACAGCTGCTATTGTCTCCCCTCAATTCCCTGGGCTTAATCCTTCTCTGAAGCCAGACATACTATCTGAGGGCAATTGGTTCTGGGACCCCCCCACCCCCACCTCAGAGGAGGCCAAAATCCTGGGACACTAAAATTCCTGCTATCAAATGATATAGTCTTTTAACAGAACCTTGCACATCCAAACGTACATCTCAAATGCTTTAAGTCATCTTTGGTTTACTCGTAATACTGAATTCAATGTAGATGTCACATAGCTGTCACACTGTTGTTTAGGGAATAACAGGGAAGTCTGCACTCGATCATCGCCGACACTTTTCCCTGGGCACTTTCAATCTGTGGTTGGTTGAATGTGTAGATGTGCGAGCCCTGGGTACAGAGGGTCAACACATTCGATGCATGGCTCTCCAAGGGGCCAGCTTATTTATTAGAAGCAGCAGGGGGTTCTCCACCAACCTCTGATCTTCCCAGTTAGGAAGTTCTTGGAGTTCACAATCTGATCCATGTCTGAGCGGATGGTCCCTTCCAGGCCCTTTGTCAGAGCTCGGCACTCCTCCTTCAAGGCACTTAATCCTTCCGACACTTGGTGCTGAACCAGATTGTAGGCTTCCTCCAGGAGCTATAACACGGAACAGCACATGATCCGTGACTAAAGGAGCCAGGGAAGCAGGGAAAGCAGGCCCATCACAGACTCTCCCATAAACAAAACCGAGCACACATTCAAACTTCAAGTTCAACCTTGTTTGGATTAGTTCTTATGTCAGTGAGAAGGAACAGGCACAAGGCAGACATTTTTCTACCTAGGAAGGGATTATTTTAAAACAGAAGAAGTAGAGATGGGGACGTTCATTTTGACAGCATGGATGCAAAGCAACATTGTCACTTACACTAAACCAGGCCCTCTTCCTCTCATTCTTCTTCCCCTTCATTTTCGGAAGCAGGTCGGTCTGAAGGGTGGGCAGGAGCTCCTCCATCACCAGCTTACTCAGGACCTGCAGGGAAAGGAGGATCCCACAGGGCATCAGTGGACCAAGGTCAGCTAGAGGTCTCACGACAGCGTCCCTGTCCTGGGCTACACGGGCTCAGAGGTAACAGAGGTGCGGGATGAGGAAATAGAGACTATGAGGACTGATGCTGAGGATGGAGATATGGCTGTGCATATGATAAGCAGAGGAAATCTTGGTTCACAATCTCAGAGGTGATCATTCTTCAGCATTCACAGGGAACAGACGTGGCTCTATTGTTGTTATCACAATGGGAAGAACATTTTCCTCAAATTTAAGCTCTTCATGTTCACACTAAAAGGACCTCATGCATTTAGAATGAGAGAGGAGGAGCTTTCTTTTTCCAACGTAATGTTTTTATGGATAATTTGGGAGTTTCACATAATGCACCCTTTACACCCTGATCACATTTACTTCCCAGGTCCACTCTCCCCTGTGATGCCCCACAAAGAAAAGGAAAAAAAGCAAAGCAAAGAAAAAATTACCAAGTCCAATTTGTGTTGCCCATATACTCACTCACTGGCGCATGGGCAAGCTCCCAGTGGGCAGCCCCTTAAAGAAAACTGAGTCTTTCCCCAATTCCACCCCTGCCAGAAGCCATCAACTGTGGAGAGCTACACTTCAGCATCTCTGTCACAGTTTTTAAGAGTTGAGAGGGGAGCTTTTAATGGCAGATAGGGCATCCTTAAACAGGATAATCAAGTTTAAAGTGACTACTTGAGCCTGGTCTGTGTCTTCCTACGACTATCATTCTTTCTCAAGCCTCCTCATGTCTCCTTCTCCTCGCTCCTACTCTTCCCAAACATGCCTTCCATTCTCCGTGCTTACAAAAAGAAGGAAGGGGCAGAGCAAAGAAGAGGTGGCAACAACTGCCAGACCACTCCAGGCTCCCACCACACTGCCCAGTCCAGTGCTTGTGTCCTCCATCACTGCTAGCCTGCCCAAGGAAAGGGTCGGTGTGAACTACCTGGTGGGATCCTGTCCTAAAACAAAACAAGCAAGACAAAGCTGCAGAATAGTTTCACTTGCTTTTAACTCGTGTTAACATCTCATTGTTTCATTGTGTTTTAAAGGGGAAGGGCACATGTCATTAATAAACATCTCCCAGGCTGGACTGCTATGGGAGAAATATTTTGCTTTATAGTTTAGAAGGATTGTCTCTTGGTTCCCTGGGGGAAGGGATTTCCTTCCAGGGACACACAGCCATCTGGGCTAATGTCTGTGGCATAAAAAAGCTAAAATTTTTTCTTATGTTCTCTTCTCCCACTCTGCTTTCTGTATGCAATGTCACTAAACCCAGAGATCTGTTAAAATCTGGCTACTTGACTGCAGTAATGCCACGAAGACAGAGTTCTTTAGGAGAGCAAGTGGCTCCTTTTCTTGGCTGTAGATCATCAGATGGCTAATTCTGCCATTTCCCTGTCATTTCCTGAAAGCCAAGGTTGGCTGGTGAAAATGTTCTCAACAACATGCTAACTGTGAAGTGCAGACCTTTGGACCTTTACTGTAAACATTCCCTGTTGACAGAATGAAGACAACACTGTGTTTTAACAGCGGCTTTGGCTTCCTGCTGCAGTTATCACTGGAGGAGGGAGCTGGAAAACAACTACACACTTTCAGTTATCCAAGAACTGGCTGGAATGCCAGAACTGCTTATGAAAGTATCATTCAGAAATCTAGACCCTGCTACGAAAACAATAGATGGAGAAACTAGCACCAAATACTATGAAACAATTTGACATATGTGTACTAAGCAGAATTAAAGGGACGTCGAAAGTTTTCAGAGTGCTTTGTAGGAATGTCCCCAAATCCATCCTAAAATGTTGTGCTGATCGATGCACTTGTTCCCTTGGGTCTGAGCAGTACTCCACACTCCACTCATAACGTCCCCACCCCTCCGTCTCCGCCCCAGTCCTGACTTGGGGTGTCTCTGTCGCTCAGACTCACTTAACCAGGGTCTTCTCAGGGGCGCAGCTCAGCTGCAGCAGCTAAAAGGCCAGGGCACTGCTGAGGGTGACAGCAGGCAGCAGAGCGCACGACCACTCAAGACACCTGGTCTGTGAAGTTGAAACAATATTTATCCAAAACAACTGACCTCCTCCTTCTCATAGAAATTCAAATTACATTGGGAATTAAGGAAGTTCTCTCTGAGCCCACGGGTCAGCCACAAGCCAGTGGACACTCTCACAAGCTCACTGGCCTTGGCCTGTCTTCAGGGCTGCATTACGGCAGGGTGGAACACACTAACTGGACTGAGCGACAAGCAGGCTGCTGTCCTGGGCCCCTGGGCTCCTGGGAAAGGAGCTTCTGAACTCAGTACAGCCTGAAGGGTTCCCATCCTTGCAGTGTGGATCTGCCTCAAGTGACGAAGTGACAGACAGGACTCTCACATGCCTTGAAAATTCACTGATGGCCTTGTGTTTGCCTTTCTTATCCACTTCATCATTAAGAGATGAAATCGCCATTTTTTTTGAGGAAATTATAAGAAATATATGCAAGCATCATGGAAATCAGCAGGTTAAACAATTCAGTTCAACAGGTAACTCACAGTCCACAGGCCATATGCCACATCCTGAGTGAGTTCTTGTTTGGAACCTAAGCCCAAGAGCTATCGAGTGTGGCATAAGGAGACAGAGATAAGAGGGACAGAGACTAAAGCAAACTTAGTAGGAAATGCTGTCATGGCTGAAAAGCCTTAAACTCAAGAATCACAAGTATCCTAATTTGTCCTTCTGCAGAGGCTGGATTGATTTTGAGCATGAGTGTGAACGGATCTGAGAAGACACGAATGTTACACACAGAGGCCAGAGGCAGCCAACATTCCATTTGGGTGGGCTTGCAGTTTCCTGGTCTTTCCCACACAATGTTCCAAGAAATTTGCTTCTATTTTACAACTTAGGGACTTAACAAGAAAATATGTCTGGGAAAAAAAAGAAAGAGGGGGAAGAGAGGCTACCAGGGTGGTGATCGGGTAGGGGTTGGGAATTGCCCCAAAGCTGGCAGAGCTTGTAGTGCCGAAGCCCAGCCACACCTTATCCCACACCGTCTCGCTCCATCCTGACACCACCTTGTCCCTCTCTGCCCACTCAGGGTCACCTGACCTGGCCAGCTCTCCATAAGCAAGGTCCTAAGCCTGTGGGGCTTGTTGAAGGAAAGTAGCTAATCTAATAAATATAATAATAAAGGCTCTCTGACCTCCCCATCAAGTAGAGTCCACTGTTTTACCATAAGGACCCTAAAGATCTAATTTTCATGATTTTGTATTTTAAAGAGGAGAGAATGTGGCTGGAAATTTTAGCTGCTGGGAGTGGAGATTAAAATTTCATCACACATAGAAGAAACCCAATGTGCCATCAGATTAATCAAAATGAACACAACAAGCAGGAGATGGTGGTATGTGCCTCTAATATATGACTAAGGAAGTTGAGGGAGGAAGGGGAAGGGTTTGAGGTCAGTCTCATGCTGAGACTGTGTCCCCCAAAACAGAAACAACAAAACCCAAACCACTCACTGAGGGCCACACCACCTTGCTCCCTTTCAGACTGAAAGCTCTGAGGAGGGGTGAGTCTCAGTAAGGATGCAGCCCCTTCTGAAGGCAGGCCCCATGTCTGACTGGCTCTTTGGCCCCGGGCCCCTGTGTTACTGAAGGACTGTAGGTTAAGTGTATCTGTTAGGGGCTGAAGGACTGTAGGCTAAGTGTATCTGCTTAGAGGATCGCACTCAATATCATTTGAATGAAGACCAGTCTAGAAGGAACGGGCAAGACCTTCAATGTGGAAAGTTTTCTGGTCACACAACCAGGCAGCTCTGTGGGCAGCCAGAGCCAGTCTCACATACCTGGCTAAATAAAAGCGAATAATAAATACACCTGCTACCTGCAGCTACTTGACATTTTTGCAGATTTTCTCTCATGATTTCATTTGGTAGTGTTCATGGCTCATATTGACAAGTAGAAAATGTGTTGATGCTTTTACCAGCATACAGATATTTTCACCTTAACATCCTGCTAGGCATGCTATTCTGAGACACTGCTCTGCCTGGACCTTTGCCTAAAACAACCATCACCATGAAGGCCTGCCATGCTCATGTGAATCCATCCCTACTAGGAAGAGAATGACATAAAAAGGGTCATTCAGCTCTCTTGAATTTTAGCACTTAGCACATGCTAGCCTAGAGGAAAAGGTACACAGAAAACACAACCGAAATACCCAGTCCCAGCGAAGATCTATTAAATATTTGTTTTCAGTGTAAAGGAATGTGAACTGACATACGATTAAGATTGTGAGTGAGGCCGGGCGTTGGTGGTGCACGCCTTTAATCCCAGCACTCGGGAGGCAGAGGCAGGCGGATCTCTGTGAGTTCGAGGCCGGGCTGGACTGACAGCCTCCGAAACAATACAGAGAAACCCTGTCTCGTAAAAAAAAAAAAAATTTTGTGAGTGAAAGAAAATATGAAGCCAGTGCCGTAGCCCAGCTCCAGGAGACAAAAAATACCAACCTATCTCCATGGCTAGTGTTAGGCTCCCAGTCAGAGGCAGAAGACAGCCTTCTGCTGTCCACTCACATACAACCCTGAGACCATCATCTGCACAGCAGGAACCATTCTCTCGCGTGAGCTCAGAATCACAAGCACCCAGCAGCGTGCTTGGCAGAGAGTGGGCACTCGGAAAGTTACTGTCTGCATAAGGTCGCTTAGCTACCCTGTGCCTCCCAGTTCCGTCCCTCTAACTTCCCTTCCCGCTCCATAAGACTGTCAGGACAAGGAGACTTAGGATTTGAACGTTATAAAAACCACACAAGAGCATTGTAACACAAGTCTCTCTGCTAACTGTTAAATGTGTTGTCTATTGTCTTGGCTAGTCAGTGTCAAATGCTTCTATTTCTTATACTTTGGGTTTTCTTTGGGGCATAAAGTATTATACATCTTTCATCTTCTCAAAGTTTTAAATGGATGCACTTCTGTAAAATATCAGAGACTAAGAATTGTTGAGAATCCTAAAGTGTGCTCAGGCTGGGAATATACAAATACGTGCGTGGATGCAATGGTGTGTAACTCTGTGTCTGGCTTTGAGTGAAATGTTTCAGCAAAGCCCTTGCTATGTTTGGGTTAACCAGTAGAGGCTGAGAAATTGTCTTGGGACTGTCTAAACCTTGAAGAAATGTTGTCTCTCTGGAGAGTCTGCACTTGGTGTTACATGAGAGCTTACAGCTGCACCGACCTTGGTCCTCAGACACTCCTGGCGCACCCGGAGTTTTTACTTTTGATTATGGCTGCCATGATCAAAAGGGACTGGGATTTGTGTGGGTTGTCTGCTCTCTGGCAGCAGCAGCAAGATGACTTTGGTAGTTGGAACCTTTCCCAGCCTCTATTAACCTTGTATATGTTTGAATAAAATAACTGGAGTGAGCTAGCTGGGTGTCAGTCCTTCCCAAGAAGGCTGAATCCCTCTGCTCCTTCAGAAAATGGAGGCTTAGCGTCTTGGTGACTGTTTCTCTCTACCACAGCACCTACGACCCAACATCAACATAGAGATAGGGGAAGTCTTCGGCTCATACTCCAAAACAACCAAGAGCACATCCATCATTGTGAGCAAACGTCTCTGGCTTTGCACATTTAGTGACCTAACAGAAGCGTTGTGGGCTGTCCTGCTGAATGCCAGGTCTGCTGGTCTTCATATTAAGTACCCAACGGCTTAGTGACAACTGAGGGAAATGGCTTGGGAACCACAACTTCTATTCATGCAACTTCCTGTGGATCATTCGTTAAATGGCCTTGACCTCCTACTACACAGACAGAGAGAGGACCCGTAGCTCTGAGCCCCACATTACCTGGACTTCATCCCCAGTGATCATCTCCCATGAGCCATAGTGACCCTTCTCCTGCCGGAAGAACTGTACAGCTTCTAAAAAGGCTTGAGCTTCAAATGTCGTCTGCTTCATGTAATCTAAAAGAAAGGGGGGATTTAATAATGCTGTTTTGTATTTTTCTGTGGTTCTTCAAGGAAGTAACATTTTCTATTACAAGGCCTGAAACTGTAAGAACCCAGAAAGCTACTGTCCACAGGGTCCATTTACAGGTGCATATCATGCTGCTCACGCTCCATCCACGCTGATAACTATCACTCACTGAGCAAAGCGGTCAGGACCACCACCTTCCCCTACCTCTCTCCCTCTTTCTTGCCTGCCTCAAATGCTTTCCCCAGGCACTGAGTGGTCGCACGCCACCACTAATGAACCTCTCATATGAGCAATCCATTAGTGGTGCACCTGAACCCAAGTTAAAGTCCAATTTCTGTGAGCTGACATCAGCCCTTTCTGTCACAGGCACATCTACATAGCTTGCTAATTTATGCAAATGCAAATGATAATTGATAACACATAGCAGGGTACTGTTTGTTTAAGCACATCACCTATTTCATTGAGAACTGACAAAAATCCCAGAGGAAAGCATGGTTATCACCTCATTCGACAGATGAGGCTGACAAGGAACAGAAAGCTGATTAATTGCCTAGGGTCATACAAGCAGTGAGTGGAGGATCCAGGTAGAACTGGGGTAGTATCTGACTTCAAGTCTGCTTATAATCACTACATTGCATGTCCTAACTTGATGAGCTTGCCCCTCCAAAAATATCGTTCTTCTCCTTCTTTTTGAGACAGGATGTCTCTGTGCAGCCCTGGTTGGCCTCAGACTCACAGAGATCCACCTGCCTCTGCCTCCTCTGGCAAAAATATTGCATTTTAATGGTGTCATATCCGAGAAATAATATCTCACCATAAAGTAAGGACTGTTCAGTGGTGGGATTTAAGGTATGGAGATGGGGGCTTGGGTCTGAATAACCTGTCCAGAATTCCATGTCTTCCTTCCCAACACATAAAACTAGCGTATGGTTGGTTCCTGTTGTTGTTTTGTTTTTTTGCTTAGGGTTTATGGAGGGACTCACTCTGTAGCCCAGGCATACTTGGAACTCACAATCTTGTCCCAGTCTCCTGAGTGCTAGACTTACAGGCATGTGTCACCACACCAGTTAAAATCATCTCTGGAAGAGGAAATGGTAATGGAACTGTAGAGATTTTGATGTGGGAAATGAACTTTAAAAAGCAAGATGGCTCTGAGGGTAAAGGTGTTTGCCACTGCAGTAGTTTGAAAAAAAAGGGCCCCCAAAGGGAGTGGCACTATTAGGAGGCGTGGCCTTGTTGGAGTAGGTGTGCCCTTGACAGAAGAAATGGGTGTCATTGTGGAGGTAGATTTTGAGGTCTCAGATATGCTCAAACCGTGCCCAGTGACTCAACGACCACTTCCTCTTGCCTGAGAGTCAAGACGTAAGAACTCTCAGCTCCCATGCCAGCACCATGTCTACCTACACGCTGCCTACATGCTGCTATACTCCCAGCTGTCATGTCCTTCCATGATGATAATGGACTAAACCTCTGAACCACAATTAAATGTTTCCCCTTTGTAAGAGTTGCCGTGGACATGGTGTCTCTCCATAGCAATAGAAACCTAATGAAGACTGCCACCAAGCTTGATGACCTGAGTTCAATCCCTGAGACATACAGTAAAGAACCAGCTCCTACAAGTTGTCCTCTGACCTATGTCACAGCATACATACATCTACACAATCAATCAATTGACCAATCAATTAATCAATAAGTGTCATTAAAATTAAAAATAGTCTAACCAGGTCCTTCTGGGTGTTCAGCTCAGTGACAGAGTGTTCACTTAGCATGCATTGGTCCTAAATTTGATATATTTCATCACACACACACACACCCCTAATCAAATCATAAAGAAATTCACTTCTAGAAGGAGGAAATGAAGGGAGGTAAAGGGCAAGCTTCCACTGCTAAATGGCACACAGTTCTCTTGCTAGAAATTATAGTATATGTATAATCTACTAAAATGTGCAAGTATTGGTGCTATTAGAATGAAGGCAGCTGGTTCACAGCAAAGGAGTAACACCATAGCTCTAGATACACAGAATTACTTAGTCATAAATGGCTCCAGGGACTGGGCATAACCTAAGTCTGCCCTGGCAGGTGGCGAGCCACCAACAGTGTAGATTACCTTCTCTGAGGTTGGTGTAATAGATTATAAAGCACCAGGCACTTAAAAGAAGAAACGCAGCTCAGGGCACAGTATCTATAAGGGTTAAAGGGACTTCATAGTCAGAGTCTCATGAAGCCTAGGAGGGACACCTTCGAAAACACAGATGAGGAACCAACATCTCTGACATCAACACAGAGTTCTGTTCCAAAGGGAAAAGGGCAAAAATGGCCTGCCCCACAAATCAACTTTTCAAATTGAAGTATCTTCTTTCTTTTTATTTTTCTTGGCTTGGCAACTCATTTAGTGTTTAACCTCAGAGGATCAGAAAATGAAAATTAAGGTCGTCCTATAAAATCGCCAATGCCAGCGGCGGTGCTCTCCCCACAGCGGGATGTGATACAGGGCTCAACACTCTGGGATGGACTGGATGGAGTGAGATGGAAACTGTGGAGACTCAAGATGACTCATGAGCGCTTATTTTTAACAGCTGTTTTCATTTCCAATCTAAGGAAACAAAGAGATGGGGAGAAAATGTGACTCTGTTTGGAACGGGTGAGTGTGGCCAGATCTGTCAGCCAAGGAACGGAGGTTTTGATTCCTCAGTGCATTGCAAGCAGCCCAACTTCTCCTACTTCTTCCCCAGCTGACCTCAGTAACTGGGGGAGACATTTTATAACCTGTTCACGCCTTCAGTGTCTACATCAAAACACACTGACATGTGGAGTGAAAAGTATATTGCTAAAGGTCTTGGGAGGAGGGATGGAAGGAATAGGATTTGGAGACAATGATATTAGCTTTAGACAAGAGTCAAAGAAGGAATGATACACCTTGACTCAGGCAGAGAACAAAGGGATAGGGATGAAATGGGCCACTATTTATTTTTGGTTGTGAGCCTAACCTTTAACAGCTGAGCTATCTATCCCTCCAGTCCCTATTTATTTATTTTTCATGTGCATTGGTGTTTTTGTTTTGCCTATGGAAGCACATTGGGTCTCCTAGAACTGTAGTTACAGACAGTTGTGAGCTGCCATGTGGGTGCTGGGAATTGAACCTGGGTCCTCTAAAAAAGCAGCCAGTGCTCTTAACGGCTGTGCCATCTCTCCAATCTCCACTTTCCCCTTTCTATAGTGGGAGAAAGATCCATGTTGCCAATTTATCATTAGATTTTCAACTTATAAGCCAATAAAAAAGTTTTATGAAAAACTTGGAGAAGAAATCTGCCAGAGTAAGTTTCTTGTGAGTGTCTGTTCTGGTGGCCATAAACAAAACTCAAAAGACAATCACCAGCTCACTAAGCAAATAGAGAATGAAGTTGCCAAAGACAGAGCTGTGTAGCACAGCTGTAAAATGACCTTCATTTCTCTCCGGTTGTTTCAAGAGACAGAGCTGAAGTCAGTACAGGTGTTTGAGAGAAAACAGATTAGCAAGTTACTTGATCAGCTTCCTGTTGGCATTCTCAAGAGAACACATTGCAGCTGCGTGGAGCGGCCCTCTCATCAGCCAATGAGCAAGCTGAGAGTTTAGATCCATGGCCTCCACCATCAGTGGTTTGGGCTCTTCCATGAAGCTTTCCCTCTGCAGGAAGACTTATGGCAGGTAGCAAGCAGGCCAAAACTTCCTTTTCCCATGCGCAGTATGTAAGGTTATACAAGGGGCCAGATGTAGCAGAGAGTAACTGAGGCATTTGGTAAAGCCAGATGAAGAAACGGGGGGCGCGTGGTGGGGGGCTGGGGGAGTGTTCTTAAATGAAGGTCACACAGCTGGTCAGAGTCAGAGCCAAGAGCAGAGAAGTCGGGTCTGGCCGGTCCTGTGTGGCCTTGGCATTCACACTTAAATCATAGACTTGGAGAATCAGGAGTGATCTTAACTGGTCAGTGACCGTGAGCGCATGTTCAGTGCTGCGAACCTTCAGCTCTCAAATAGTTCTAGCGACAGAAACCTCACAATGTGATGAAATGGTTTTTTACTTCTTTTGGCCTTTTTTGAAGTCATTACCTTTCCACGCACCCCCACCACCACACACATACTATTCAATTTCCCTCTTAGAGAACAAATTAATTGTCATTACTCCTTTTCCATATGATACGGCTGAATCCCAGGCATCCATTGAGTGAACTTCAGCCACTCTAAAGAATTTACTCTTTGGATCTTTTTAATCTGACCCTTTTTACCTCCTCGGTGATCCACGCTGTTCCTCATCCTCTTGGCTCTAGAACTACCCCCAATACATGGGGTAATCTCCTGCCTCTTATTTCTTCTTTAAGGCAGCCAAAGTGTTGGGGTGACTCATGCCTTTCAAATCCATAAATGTTTTTCATATGAAATGCTTGCCAGTCTAAGCATCTCCTAACTTGCACGTCTACTTGTGACTTTAGGACTGTCTTTAAAGCTTAGCCATTAAGTGACAACTTGCCTTTTTTGTCTCATCCAATTCACTGGTAAAAGACTTTCATAAACTCCAGGGCACAGACAAACCCTGGGAATCTATAAGCATTTTCCGAGACATGTGGGAGACACATTGTAGCCATTCATTCAACACTCAGTATCCCCAGGGCCAGGAATGGTCTAGGAAGCACGGCTCTCCTTGGTGTCTGCCTAGGTCCTCATCCGTGCAGCTGCATGGAAAACTCATATTTGAGAGAGATGATTAAGGAGTTTGCAAGGGAAGCTGTGCTTTTCAAGGCCTCCTGGGGACAGTTATTCAGGGGGCCAGCCAGAGAGACTCAGTTTTCGTTTTTTCCACTTGTACAGATTTATAACATGCCTGAGTTACCCGAAACCCCAAAGCTCCCAGGCCCGTGGAGTCACTGCAGGCTGTGACTCTGGCTGCTGTGCCAGATCTGGGCTTGGAAGCCCCGTTGTTGTTCTATTTTATGGATAACCTATACCAAGCCCTGT